AGGCCAGGTGGCATTAGTCTACCACTTCCGGTTTCGGAGTTGTGACCCCCGAGCGAAGTCTGTCTGTTCGGGGTTGGCGGCTACACTAGGTCTGCCCGAGTCTGAAATTTGGGGTATAGGGGTAGCTCGGACCGGGGAGTAACATAGACCAGGTGGCGTTAGTCTACCGCTTCCGGTTTCGGAGTTATGACCCCCGAGCGAAGCCGGTCTGTTCGGCGTTGGCGGCTACACTAGGTCTGCCCCGAGTCTGAAATTTGGGGTATAGGGGTATCTCGGACCGAGGAGTAACATAGACCAGGTGGCGTTAGTCTACCACTTCCGGTTTCGGAGTTATGACCCCCGAGCGAAGCCGGGTATCCTGCTAGTAAGACATTTTACAAGCTATATCCAACGGAAGGAAATGACGATTAATTAAAAATCCGCCATTTTGGACTTAATGTTTGAGATCAGAATTCAACCAAATGACATCTAAAACCATGTTACAAGTCGTATCCAAAAGGGAAAAATAACGATTAACTTAAAATCCGCCATTTTGGATTTCATTTTGGTGTGACACTACGGGGTAGATGTGACTATCCCGGTCACGGACTCCAAATAAGAGATAGGCTGTGACACTATCGTCTATGACTTTCTTCGACTTCACGTTGTGGGATCAATTATTTCAATCATCAATTAACTGACTCTGGAACACCGTTTAATGTCGTTACTAAGTTGATATAATTAAATACATACAGCAAACTACAAAGTTATGATATTACTTTTCGAGTTATTAAAATATCCACGGTCTGAGTTTAAAGGACAATATTATTGGTGCCAGTCATTATCACATATGTGATAGAGCTGGTTAAACACATTCCAAATATAATTTTAACACAGAGATCATTGCTACGATAGCTGAGTAATACAAGTTTCCTGAGTCGGAAGTGACGAACGCCAAAGGAAAACACGAGTCACCTCTCTATATAACTGACTGATGTTACGAGTGATAACGGATATACGGCCGAATTTCTGCTCACTAATAATTCCTTCGAAGACCAAAAGTTGATATATGTGACTGTAAGAGGATACCTGACAATTCAATAAAGTAATTGAATGTCATTAGATAAGAGAACACGAGAAAAATAGAAATAGTCCGTACATTCCCTTGTTTATATTCATTCTATATCTTATAAAAACATGTTTTTCTTTCGCGTTCACTTATCTAGTGGCAGTCAATTCTTTTTATGAATTGTCAGATATCCTCTCACGATCTCATACAACAACTTTTGGTCTTCGAATGAATTATTAGTGAACAGAAATTCGCCCGTATATCCGTTATCACTCGTCACATCAGTCAGTTATATAGAGAGACGACTCGTGTTTTCCTTTGGCGTTCGTCACTTCTGATTCTGGAAAACTGTATTACTCAGCTATCGTAGCAATGATCTCTGTGTTAAAATTATATTTGGAATGTGTTTAACCAGCTCCATCACATATGTGATAATGACTGGCACCAATATTGTCTTTTAATATCCTTTTTAACTCAGACCAGAACGGCTTAAACGTGGCAAGAGCCATGACATACTTCTTGATAGTTCTACATAAGGTTCGCGCTAGGATGATGTGTTCACCCAAGCCTCTTAGCCGGGGAGGCTACGATGTTCCCCTTTTGGGCCGCTCTATGATATCTGAAGGCCAATCAAACCATATCTCTCCATAGATATTATAATAAATATAATGCGTCATCTATTAAGGCGGGACAGTTACCATTTTGGGGTAAGTGTTTCATATAGGCACCGTTTAACGTCAACATCATTCTATTTAATTGGACTAATCCTTGCACGAGATGACTGGACGATAGTACCCTACTTTCCAGGAATGGATACTGACATAAATGTCTGTGATTTAGTCTAAGGTAGTAGTAGAGTAATGCAAGCTACTACTTCATTACCCTAGTTTTCGTCACACATCATGTCGGTAAAGATTTCTATATTAAACAGAACACTTTTCTTAGACCTAAAATAACCCGATAGTGTTATAACGGCAGTATTTCAGACACTGATCGTCGAGATAAATACAGCTGCCCAGATACTATCTTATCCGAACAGAGAGGGCGGTGTCAAACGGACGGAGTGAGTGAATCAAAGTGAATGGATATTCTTGCCGCGTTGAACCTATTCTCCAAAACTTTAGAAGGATCGTAAAAAGCAGTGGGAATGGGGGATTTAATCACCGTAAAAGGTATGGATTACCTAAACATATCACAAAGAGCAGACCGATATAATATACGCATTATTATGGGGACGTTGCCATAAGGCAGATATCGTAGTGATGGTTTCTCTCTAGATGACGTTTTAATTATTTTGGGCTTCAAATCGGAAAAAAAAAACATTTAAAAATATTTTGTATGTTCTTTACATACATGTAGTTTCTATATTCTTCGCGGCTATTTTACCCAATTTCGCTATTTAGTAACTTTCATATTACTTTATCCCTACAATCAATATTCAATATTTATATTGTTCCATATCCAACCCTCAGGAGCAGAGCCACGTACTTTTTTTTTGTTTATCGTCTATAGACGGCAATTCTGAATGGATCATCTTGGAACTTGGCATATTTATTCCATACAAGAACTATTTATTTTGATGCATGTCCCGACGACCTGGGGCGGTGTCACGCCCACTTTTTTTGTTAATATTTAGTCTGTAAATTTGGCAAAACAAACCCAACGCTTAGCTTTCTTTGCCTCTTGTCATATTATAGTCATTGCAACCATTTCATATTTCATGCTCTTCATTTTAAAGGAGCTAAATCGCTAATATTTGGGCCCTAGAAATTGTCACAAATGGGGCGCAAGGCATGTAATAATGTAATATGAATGTATATAAACTGATTTACATTCAATCATTTCCGTTTTTACTCTAATTTCAAATCAGTTATGTTCCGCGAAATACGCCAGAAGTCTCGATTGAATGGCAACCTCTAGCGTCTGGTTATTCCAGCCTACATAGATAATATGTAATGCGCATGTTACCGTTTGACATGACTTCTGGAATATGTTACAAATGACGCTGACTGAAACGCATTATGGTACACGAATCGTGTACCAATGGTAAAATGTTTATTTTGTCTTAAATATTGGATATCAGAAGCCCTTTTTTCCCAGTAAGATAACAACATCAACGTTGATTTAAATTGACAAATAATTCGTTTTTTCCATGTCATAAGATTTTTGATGATATTGAGTTAGAAACTTAGCTACTTTAAGGTCATGAGACGAAGACTTAGATTGTATTGATTTTAAAGGATTTACGATAATTACTGCCAGAGATATGGCCCTTGATTACTTTTAAAATTCTTGTGCATTATCTATAGGTCAAAGTTATCATTCAATCGACCTTATATTTATACACAAAGTTGAAGTTCTTGCGACCTACAAATATATTGATTTTCGATGATTTTTGATAACTTGAATACCTAAATCCATAATATTAAAGACATTAGAGGAGTGGAACCATTTCTAATCAATGCTCTAACGTCAAAAGATATCATCCGATCTGCTTTAAATTGATATCAGTGTCTTGACAAAGCTCACATTACCCTCAAAAGAATAAATTTTGCAACATCACTTGTTGATTTTTCAGAGAATTTAGGCCGCAGCTCATTTGACATTGCAAGTGGCAACCTATCATTTATATGTGTATGCAAAAACTAAGTATTGTTTAATGGTCGAGAGCAAGACATTAAGTAATATATTGTAACAAGAGTGTCGTAGGCCCAAGTGTATTTACAATATATGACGCAATATCTTAAGCTCGCTCGAGACCATTAAAAGATTAAAATACAGACACTCCGCACGGTGTTTTACAGTGAAATACGTCAAGCGAGTCCAATATTTCACTAGTATAAATAATGTCAATTGGCAAGTTGCCTGTTCGATTATTTGAAATAATGGTACACCAACATCCAAAGGTGATGTTACTTCTGTATTTTAAAACATAAATATTGCTATCTCTTGTTTTATTTTACAGCTTAACATGCCAGCTAAAAAGAAAACAACATCTACTGGTGATAACAAATATAAGTGTGATGTTTGTGGTAAATTCTGTGTTAGTCCTTCAAAACGAGAAATACACATGAGAATGCATACCGGTGAGAGACCATATAAGTGTGATATTTGCAGTAAATCATTTTCTACGAGATGTAATCTAGAACGCCACATTAGAATCCATACCGGTGAAAGACCATATAAGTGTGATATTTGTAGTAAATCGTTTTCTACGAGCTATAATCTAGAATGCCACATGAGAATCCATAATGGAGATAGACCATATAAGTGTGATATTTGTAGTAAATCATTTTCTACGAGCTATAATCTAGAACGCCACATGAGAATCCATAATGGAGATAGACCATATAAGTGTGATATTTGCAGTAAATCATTTTCTACGAGATATAATCTAGAATGCCACATGAGAATCCATACCGGTGAAAGACCATATAAGTGTGATATTTGTAGTAAATCGTTTTCTACGAGATGTAATCTAGAACGCCACATTAGAATCCATAATGGAGATAGACCATATAAGTGTGATATTTGCAGTAAATCATTTTCTACGAGCTATAATCTAGAATGTCACATGAGAATCCATACTGGAGATAGGCCATATAAGTGTGATATTTGTAGTAAATCGTTTTCTAAGAGCTATAATCTAGAATGTCACATGAGAATCCATACTGGAGATAGGCCATATAAATAATGTATTGTGCCTCAACATTTCAGGACTAACATGGTTCTATTTTATTTCAATAATTCGCTTGCTCGTTGGGGTCTTTAGCCGTGGGAGGAAACCGGAGGACCTGGAGAAAACCCACGAGGTTGGACAGGTGACCCTACTCCTTGTCAAGTACAACTGGGGAATAGAAACCAGTATATAACACAGAGTGTACTTCAACTTCACTTAACTACAATATTCAGCAGTTTTACAGATTCTTTATAAAACATACAAATAAGAAGATTTTTTCTGTAAAAATCGACTATTTTATTATCTATGTAAAGAATGTTGACAGTGTTGGACTATATAGGACCTTGACGTGGTAACATTCCTAGTTCTTGTAAACAAACAGTAGCAGCTTGAGCTTTAGCTGTCTTCTTATTGTTACTAGCTATTGATGGTTGATATTCTACACGGTTTACCAACACCTACAAATAAAAAATATTACTTTTAAACATTCTCTCATATCAAGAGAGAGAGAGAGAGAGAAATGGGGTTTAACGTTCACTCCACACAAACTAGGTCATTTCAGGACTAACATATGGTTTAATTTTATTTCAATAATTCGCTTGCGTGTAGGGATCTTTAGAAGTGGGAGGAAACCGGAGGACCCGGAGAAAACTCACGAGGTTGGACAGGTGACCTTACTCTTTGTCACATACAACCAGGGAATCAAAAAGACACCAGTTGACTCAATGACAGACCTTATGATACAGCGTGCATTCGCTAAACAAGAGTTACCCCCCATTATTAACTATTAGCTATAACAATTTACTCAATGGGGGTGCTCAATCGAACAGGAATCAAAACCAAACTAGTTGACTCAATGACAGAACTTATGATACAGCATGCACACGCTAACCATTCAGCCATCCAACCCCTCCACATTATAAAGAATGCAATATATTGTTATAATATAAAATTTACCTTAAACAAGAAGTTTTTCTTGTGATCAGGTCCACTCTCGTGAATCATTTCAAAATACGGAGCTCCATATTTACGTCTGTTACACAGTTCTAATAGAGCAGACACCGGATGTTTGCCTGTTAACAAAAAAAAACAATGTAAGTACACCTATATAACTAGATTTATGCACAATTAAAATGAACCCCCTGTTTATTTAAACATACATTATGTAAGATTTAGATAAAGAGATGACCATTATTGCTACAATAGCTCAAAAGTAGTTAATGTAAATGAAAATATTGAAAATTTCATTCAAATTACTTCATTCTGAGGCAAGTTATCACTGTTTGTAGTTTTGACAAAATGTGTGCATTGTGGTAACTAGGGCACTGGTATATTTGAGACTTATCCTCACTTTCCCATTTTTAAATTAAATTTTTAAATGGCAAACTGTTCTAATCTGGTTAAAATCTCAAGTGTCCGATGCCATCGAGAGTTGATTATGGTCTTGTTTTTTTTAAATAAATGTCTAATTAATAATTTAGATAACATTTCAGGCCTAAAGAAAGACCTGCAATAGACAGATTTAGCTCTTGCATAATGAATGTTTAATAAAGAGAGAGAGAGAGAAAGAGAGAGAGAAATGGGGTTTAACGTCCACTCGACACCATCTAGGTCATTTCGGGACTAACATATGGTTTAATTTTATTTCTATAATTCGCTTGCGCGTAGGGGTCTTTAGCAGTGGGAGGAAACCGGGGGACCCGGAGAAAACCAACGAAGTTGGACAGGCGACCCTACTCCTTGTCACGTACAAACGGGGATTTGAAACCACGCCAGTCGACTCAATGACAGACTTTATGATACAGCGCGCGCACGCTAAACATTCAGCCATCCAACCCCCCAATATATTTAATAATAATAATAATAATCCTCTATTTATATAGCACAATAATAATAAAACAAAAGTTTCTATTCCACTTTTCAAGTTCTCTAATGAATTATGGCAACGCTTCTGTAAACAGGAATGTCTTTAGATAGGATTTAAATGCATCCAAGGAAAAAATGGTTCTAGTATTGTAAGACAATGAATTCCACAAGACAGGAACAGAGAACGAGAAAGATCTTTTTGCTATTTCAAGATTCACTGATGGTTGATACAGAAATTGTTTATCTGTGGATCTAAGAGTTCTTGTTGATTTATATGGAATAATCAGATCTTTGATATATTTTGGTGATTGAACATGCAACGCCTTGAAAGTCAACAGTAGTATTAACAGTTCAGATTAAAATTAACAATTGTTAAATACTGATTACATATTAATCCAATGAATACAAAAACATATTTTTTTAAACGTCTTGTTTATAGATGATTGTTTTGCTTGGGAGAGGAGAGAGGGAAATGGGGTTTAACATCCACTTGACACAAACTATGTCATTTCGGGACTAACACTCGGTTCAATTTTATTTCAATAATTTGCTTGCCCATAGGGGTCTTTAGCAGTGGGAGGAAACCGGAGGACCGGGAGAAAACCCGTACAACCGGGGATAGAAACCACACCAGTTGACTCAATGGCAGATTTTATGATAGAAGGCGAACGTGCTAACCAATCGGCCATCCAACCCCCTGTTTGGGAGAGAAATATTTATATAATACCTGAAAGATCTTTAGGTAGTGTTTGACCACCACCACCAGCACTACCACCAGTTGTAGGAGCACTATGCCCACCTCCTCCACGATTACCTCGATTCATTTTACCAAAGCCTCGCTGATAAGGTTTCACTTCACTTTGTGTTTGTAAACCTAAAAATCAGAGAATAATCTAAGCAAGCAGATTTGACATTTTTAATAAGGAATGAAACCAAATGCCTATTTTCAATTTAAAACAATTTTTCAGTTAAATTGCATCATTAAACTATGTTATGTTGTTATACACATATTTACTGCCTCACATCAACTTTGCCCATTGTTATTTAGATTAAATCAATTCCCTAATCAAATTCTAAATCCTAGCCACGATCCCAATAAGTCAAGTTAGATATTCATGTTCTTACCAAGGAATATTTTTGGGGGATGTAGGCCAACCTAAAATGAAATGGGGTTGTCCTACACCGACTGGGCTAATGAAGAGACGCATCCATTTTATATACGCTGCACAGTGTGCTATGGGGGACATTTTGCCCTTACAACGGCGCTACGGCCTACTCTTATATCAAATTCCAACTGCCAAGGGATCTTTTACGTGCACGCCAATGTGTAAACGGGACCTCAGTTTTCCGTCCCATCTGAACGACTAGACAGCTGTCTTTGTCAGGCCCTCCGTCCTGCATCACTGACAAGGGGAAACCACGCTGGAAAATCTGGATGAACTTTCTCGGCCAATGCAGGGATCGAACACCCGACCTCCAGGCTAGCGAGCCAGCGTCTTACCCACTTAGCCACGTGATCCCCTGGCAAACATAAAACATACAAGTCTGATAATAAGGCTTACTAATGTCAAGGTTCTGGCGACACAAAGACACACAGGGACGACAGTATAATACCTCCCCATTACTAATTTGGACGTATAACATATGAAAGTTCATCAAACATGTATTATTCAATGAGAGATTTAATTATTACCTTTCCTATCCACTTTAAGATCCAATAATAATGGTTCCAGGGATCCTTCATTATTTTTACCCAATCCTTCTCCTGCTTTCCATCCCATTTTTTGCAGTAAAAACATTCCAATTCCACTTTTAACTGGTTCAGCTCGTTTAAACTGATCCTGAAATTCATGACCAGACACAGAAATAGAATTGTAGGTATATAATGAAAAAATGTGTGAAGAGTTCCTTTTATTTTCACATAAAATATCCAGTATATTCCTATCACATACATTCATTCATTTTAGTGAGTAAGACATTTTCTCCATATCCCATAACATTTCACAGCAAGGTATAATAGAAGCTTCAATAATATTATTGAAGACCAAACAGCTCTTTATTCAGTGTTCTTAGTCCTTATTTCTTATGTCTGATTTGTAAAACAAATATTGATTTTAAGATACAAATGTCGAAATACAACAACAACTGTAGAAATAAGAATTAAGGACTATGAATTAAGGACTATGAATTAAGAACACTGAATAAAGAGCTGTTTGGTCTTCCATATAATATAACCATGGATATAACCTGAAATTATGATGAATTAATAAAAACAAAAACTTGTACAATACAACAAATCCACAGCTGTATACATTTAAAATTATCACAGACTAATAAGCAATAGGATGCTTTTACGATTTTAAATATATAAGATTTAATTTCACGTTTATAGAATTTGATATTTTCAAGAACATTCATGTGACGATACGGATGGTGGAGAGAGATTCTCCGGGATGGCAACTTGACAAGAATATTTTTCCTGGTATTGATTCTAGTGTATTTCAAGCAACAATTTAGTGCATTAAGTTAAACAAATAGAAATGAAATGAAATGGGGTTTAACATCCTAATGTACTGCTCCGAACTGGGCTAATGAAGACGGGCAAACGCCATACAGTGTGCTATGAGGGAAATTTTGCCCGAACAGCGGCACTGCGTCCCATTCTTATATCAAATTCTAACTGTCAAGGGATCTTACCATGCATGCTTATGTGTACACGGTACCTCAGTTTTTGGTCCCATCCTAATGACTAAACAGCTGTCCTTGTCAGGCCCTCCGTCCTGCATCACTGACAAGGGGGAACCACACCGGAAGTTAAACAAGATGACATCATGTATGTACTAATAGACAGTCATGGTCATCCAGTTAATAACTAACTAATACCAGTTAATAATTAAAACATAAACTATTCAATAAGATATGAAGTCAGGACAAGGTGATTAGGATTTTTATTACCCATTCTGTACAGCGTGTAAACTATCAATATTAAAATGTACAATTAATAGCCATTTTTATTAACAAAGACCTTTTGTGGACACTAATGGAAAGCTAAACTAGAGTTACCCCCCATTATTAACTATTAGCTACAACAATCTACTCAATGGGAATACTCGGTTGAATGTTCTGGAATTGAATTCTCTCAATCCCAAAAATAGTGATAATCGAGTGAAAAGATATTCTGGGCTATAATGCAAATAAGAAAATATCTCAACCAACCATGCAGCCGAGACATATTTGTTGTGTTTAAATAGGTCGCAATTCTACTCACACCACCTTGATCAGTTGTCGGGATTGATAGAACTGAGACAGGACTGAATTCTGTGTCACTCGGTTGAAATTCTGTCAATTCGGGGCGTTCTGGATTGACAATCCAGCATCCCCAATCTGTTTCACAAAGGTATTCCGAAAGCTTTCTTATAACTCTGTATAAGAAGACTGAACTTTGTAAGTTCAAATGCCTTCTACATGTGATGTCACATCACATGGTGTCAATCATTGACACGATGGAGCATGCATTGTTTACATAACGTAAACTGGTTCAGGCAGAATGATGCCTTTTACTCATTTTATATACCTATTTACACTAAATAGGCAAAACTTTTTATCTAGAAATCCTTCAAACACCTTTATTTATTTTTCTAATACATAAAAAAAATGTTCTAGAATCTAATTTGCAAAAGGAAAAAAGTTAATATTGCAAGCTCATTAACCCCCACCGATGTCATCCCTTTCTGTGATTGTAGTGGCCTAGGCAATTTTCACTGCTGATCAGTTTGCAATCTACTTTAGAGCTGTCCTTTTAAACATAAACATTATACTACGATCTTGACAATCTGGTTAAAACACAGATCCTATTTCATTTCGTTTTTTATAGTTCATGAAACAGTCTGTTACGGCAACTTCTTGGCGTGCCATGCATTGAACTGTGGGCAGAACACTAGTAACACCAACGCTGATTGATTAATCAATGTCTGACTTCTTAGGGTCAAAAGCCGATTGTATGACCCCTGACAAAACCAATTATTAGATCTCCATGTAGTGTAGGCCACCGAATGTATAAAAAAACGAAACGAAATATAGATCTGTATTGTAATCAGATTGCGCTCTTGACTGCTGGAAATTATAACACTTTTTATAACGTTAAAAGCTGTCGAGTCACCCAACTTCATTTATGAAAAATTTATGAAAATCAATTATTCAACCCCGCACCCATAAAAGAAAATAAAGTAATTAATTTGGGTGACAAGTACAGCTTTTTACTTACCACTGTACGACAGCCAGTTGCCGAGAAACAAATTATCCACTTAGTCACTAGTTTTCATTCCTCTCTACACTGCATCAAGCTCATGATAACCTGCAACAAGCTTTCATACTATGTTTGGTAATAGACAATATTGCGTAAAATAACAATTCTATTTTACAATGTGTATTACCAAACATAGCAAAATATTTTGGTTTGCAAAAATGGTTCCTTCTTTTGCAAACATGAAAACTTGTTGCGGTAGAAAGTTTCCCTGGCACAATGGCAATAGAGCTTGGCTCATTACCAATTAAAATAACACTTCTTTAATCAAATAGGTTTTGTTCCTTTGAAGTTTAAAGTATGTCAACATGTACTGTTGGAAATATTTTTTTCATTTAGCACCATAGAATGAATGGTTGATTTTTCAAAAACATATTCATTTCTAGTGTGTATTAATTACTCTTCATAGGGGGAGTACATCCTGGTTTTGTTTATCTGTAGTTCAAATGTTAGTTAATTAAAATTTTTATTCTAATAATGATAACCATGTTCAAAAACATTATAGCGAGAATGGCCAGCCACTTATCTAAATTTTACATAATGCCCCTTTAATTGTCTAAACTGATGAGTAATACTAATCAAGTAATTTGGATTAATGGTTTCAGTTGGTGTGAGTCCTGATAAAGGAGATCAGATTCCAACATCTATCTAACATGCTAGAAAGGGAGAGAGAGAGAGAGAGAGAGAGAGAGAGAGAGAGAGAGGGTTTAACGTCTAAGAGACACAAGCTATGTCGTTTTGGGACTTTAGGGTCTTTAGCCGTGGGAGGAAACCAGAGGACCCAGAGAAAACCCACGAGGCTGGACCAGCGACCCTACTCATCACATACAACCGGAGAATCGAAACCACGGCAGCTGGCTCAATGACAAACTTTATGATAGAACGTGCACACACTAACCAATCGGCCATCCAAACCCCCTCCCGAAAAAAAAAGTGAATGATTCTCGCAAAGCCCTGAACAGAGAGAAACAAGCCAACAGTGAGGCTGGTGTCGCCCGCCGAAATCCCAAAATAAAAACATGACACTTATTAATTAATCTCCATTTATTTTTTTCAAAAGTATCGAGCAATCAAACCATACACTAAGTTTCACCAATCTCTATCAGATAGAATCAAGATTATCTTGTCCCAACCCATCAACAAATGAAATCGATTAGCTCTGCTTAGCGTCAGCTCGAAATGTTAATCATTGAACTCAGTCAAGACATTCACCCAATGAACATCTACATCAAGTTTAAACATTCACCTAATGAACATCTACACCAAGTTTAAACATTCACCTAATAGACACCTACACCAAGTTTGAACATTCTACCTCAATTAGAAGGAGAGTTATTGTGTTCCAAAATCTTGGCCAATCAAATTTCTTATCGCTTTGCTTACCCTCATTATCGAACTTAGTCAAGGCATTGATGTAATGAAGCTATACACCGAGTGTCCTCACTCTCACTTAATTAGAACTAAAGTTATCGTGTTCCAAAGCATCAACCAATCAAACTGCTTATCTCTGATTATCCTAAGCAGAAAATTCTCATCTTCGAACTCCATCAAGGCATTGACTTAATAAACACCTACACCAAGTTTGAACATTCTGGCTCAATTAGAAGAAGAGTTATTGTGTTCCAAAGTCTCGGCCAATCAAATTGCTTATCACTCTGCTTACCCTGAGCAGAAAATGCTCATTATCAAACTTAGTCAAAGTATTGATGTAATGAAACTATACAACAAGTTTCATCACTCTCACTTAATTAGAACTAAAGTTATCGTGTCCCAAAGCATCAACCAATCAAATTACTTATCTCTGCTTACCCTAAGCAGAAAATGCTCATCTTCGAACTCCATCAAGGCATTGACTTAATCAAGACCTACACCAAGTTTGAATATTCTAGCTCAATAAGAAAGAGAGTTATTGTGTCCAAAAAAGTGTGACGGACAGACAGACAGACAGACAGACAAACCCATTTTAATAGTGCCCTGCTTTCTTCGAAAGGCGGGGACAATTAAACATAAGATGGCTAACATAAAACTTAAGTTCCTACTTGTACTCCCCTTTTAAAGATAACCACATGAAACATATGTTGGTATTAACATGCCACTGTGCCAGGATAATTTCTAGGGGGTTAAATATTTTTGTTCACAATATAATACACATAAAATAACGTCCATTACGGATATCCTTTTTACTTCTCACCAATTTCTCAACAAAATAATAATTTTACTTTCAATCCTTATAAAACTTATAACTCGAGAAGCATCTGTACCTGAAATAGTGGATTTATCACATGCCAGCTAAGACTTAAAGCCTCTAGCTCGCAGGTATACATGGCACTGTCATCCAGATATTAGGAAAAAAATTCTCTTAAAAAGGGCAAAAAGGCCAAAACACAAAACTCAAAAACTAGCGCCAAGTGGCTGGCTACTGTATAAAGATTGATCATCCATTAATTTTTTTCATATTCTGTGGGAGTTTGTTAATTATGAACCAGCAAGTCAGATTTATTAACAGTGTTCCTTATAGTAAACATTTATATTGGTTTACTTCAATGATGACTTTCATTGCGCAAGTCAGTGATTCTCAACCAGTGTGAGGCGAAATTTTGAACGGCACACTAAGAAAATTTCTCACTAAGGAAGCCAGCTATTTGACTGATGAAATTCGAAACACTGTAATAAATTAAGTTCATAGCTGTGTTTTTCTTTATTTAGTTTGAATCATTCTAGTGTCTATGACTTGCCATGTTTTGATTTTGCAAAATTCAGATATTTTTCATATATATATTAAGCCAGGTGTGCCGCTATTTTTTCAAGTATTCCAAGGTATGCTGTTGGTGTAAATAATCATTTCAGATTAGATTCCTGTGATACAAATAATGACCGATGTTCTGTACTAATAGTCTTTTACTGCTTCATGAGAGAGATAGAGAAATGGAGTTTAACGTCCACTCGACACAAACTAGGTCATTTCGGGACTAACATATGGTTCAATTTTATTTCCATAATTCGCATGCGCGTAGGGGTCTTTAGCAGTGGGAGGAAACCGGAGGACCCAGAGAAAACCCACGAAGTTGGACAGACGACCCTACTCCTTGTCACATACAACCGGGGATTCGAAACCCAGCCAGTTGATTCAATGACAGACTTTATGGTACAGCACGCACGCGCTAACCATGCAGCCATCCATCCCCGCCACTGCTTCATGAATATGAGCAACATGTCTTAACCATTGCATTTCAATCCATTGGAAAATTTAGCTAAACCCATGCCACTGATTTCAAATCTTACGTTACATGGCCTTATTTTACACATATAACAGAATTAAACAAGCAAACATCTGGATGGCAATGATATGTATAAATTCTTTAGGCTCTCGTCTTAATCTATAATATTTGTAAATTAAACATATATTTATTACCTTAGAAATATTTTGCTCAAGAAATATTAAATATCAGTTCCGATATGTGGATGCAAGTCACATTTAAAAACTCAGTATATGTCTATCTACTGAGTAATGAAATTCCATTGATAGTGAATTAACAGATATTCTAGTTCTAATAATTTAGTCGAAATGAAATGAGTTTAACGTCCTACTGTTGTGCTCTGAAATGGGCTAATGAAGACAGGCATACAGCATACAGTGTGCTATGAGGGAAATTTTGCCCGGGCAGCGTCGCTATGGCCTACTCTTATATCGAATTCCAACTGCTAAGGGATCTTTTACGTGCATGCCAATGTGTACACGGGACTTCGATTTTTCGTCCCATCCGAATGACTAGACAGCTGTCCTTGTCAGGCCCTCCCCATCCTGCATCACTGACAAGGGGAAACCACGTCAGAAAATCTAGATGAACTTACTTTAATACAAACAAGTATTATTGTCATCTATGCCGATCCATGTCACCACCCAACTTTTCTTGTAAAGTTTAAAATATTTCATGGCTCCTTTCAAAATGAAGAATATATCCTTGTTAAATTTATTAAATATGATCTAATCCACTGATTTCCGAATTCATTTTGCCGGATTATTTAAACTTTTCTTGAGCAAAATATCTCTGCCGATTAAATTTTTTGGCAAAAGGGGATGTACAATGTATTTGTGAATTAAATTTGACATCAACAGAATACAACATGTACCACATGTATAACTAACCTTTTTAAGCCATGCTTGATTCTTTTTATTTGATCCTTCAAGTTCTTGTTTTGTAAGAATTTGAACACCAGTACTACCAGTAAATTGACCGGGTTGGTATTGTGATTGTGCCCAACGACTAGCCTAAAATAGAAATAGATTACATATCAACATGTTATACAATCAAAAATGCATTTTATGATTTCATGTGAAATGAAATGAAATGGGGTTTAACGTCCTACTGTTCTGCTCCGACTGAGCTATTGAAGACGCCATACAGTGTGCTATTTTGCAGGGGCAGCAGCACTATGGCCTAATCTTATATCAAATTCTAACTGCCAAGGCAATTTTTACGTGCATGCCATCCGACAACTAGACAGCTGTCCTTGTTAGGCCCTCCATCCTGCATCAATGACAAGGGGGAAAACACATCGGAAAATCCTAATGAAGATTTCATGTGAATATCTCGCTGAATATAACTGGCCTTTTGAGCAGGATTGACTAGATTGTACATGAAATTGTTTATTTTTGTACAAAAAACACAGACAATACAGAATTTGAAGCAATCACGAAGAAACAAAGTTGGAACATTTTACATTAAACAGGTTTTTTAATATTAAGCGAGTCTGATGTTAGAATATGATAAAATTAATTTAAATATGTAATTTGTTGGATAAAAATTACTTCTTTAAAGGAGCTAAATCTCTATTCTTTGGCACCTAGAAATGGACACAAACAGGTCGTAAGGCATGTCATATTGTTATATGAATGTAAATAAACTGATTTACATTCAATTGTTTCTGTTTTTACTTTAATTTCCAATCAGTTATGTTCGACGAGTCAAAATTGAATGGCAGTATTTGGTGTTGGTTATTCCAGTCTACACTGGTGGTATTCTCCTGTGGGATATGTTTAGCCTCGTTCATCAAGTCGCTTCATTACAAATGGCACTCAAAAGCATTCTGACACGCAATTCGTGAGCCAATTTTAAAATTTTCATTTTGTCTTAAATATTGGATATCAGAAGCCCATTTTTTCATGGTAAGATAACCTCAAAATATTTATTTAAATTAACCAATAAGTTGTGTTTGCAAGTCTGTGGATGATACCAAGTTAGCGACTTGCCTCCTTTAAAATTTGAATTATACCTTTTCTTGAGAATGGTGCATTTTACTGAGAGCTTGAACATCATAAGGGTTTTCTTGAAGTTTTCTAACTGCTTGTAATCTTTCTGATACAATAGCTCCAATATCTATAGGCTGAAATACATTATCACAATAAATTTACATTCTATTTCCTAAATTATCATTATTCTTTTACCTCTTCTCATGCTAATAAATTCTCAATAAATTTACATTCTATTTCCTAAATTATCATACTTTTACCTCTTCTCATGCTAATAAACTCTCAAAAATTAAAAAAAAATAGCAGAACAATAAGCCTCTTACACTGTAACACAGGTATCATTTAATCTTGTGTATCTAGCACTTATCTTTGTTTCAAAACTCGAAAAAATCGTTTAAAATCACCAATAATCATCAAATTTGTATGTCCAGTGTAAGATGCAAACTGTATTTTATACCAAAGGGGAATAAGTCTGGAAGATATTAAAATTCAATAGGATTCCTTTTTTCAATGGGATGTCTAAACAATACAGGAATTTTCTTTCTTTTCTGAAGTAACCTAATGATACATGCACATGCATGTCCCTTTCGAAACTTGTCACAACAAATTTTAAAATTAATAAATGGAATTATGTGAAGATGAATAAATACCAAAGCAACAGGTTGAGGAAAAACTGGATCAGCAACAACCGGTTCTGGCTGTGTAGAAGTTTCAGTAGCTGGCAGGAATGATAAGGTTGTAGCAGTAGCAGTAGCAGGAGGATCAGAAGTTGTGGTGGTTGCTGCAGCACTAGGTGTTTTAACAATTCCTGCATCTAATGTTGCTACAGTAGAAGTCGTAGATTTTTCAACTGGCACCCATTCTAATTCTTTTAAACGATGTTGGTTTCCACTAGAAACAGGGAACTGAGAGCGCAACACGGTAACAGTTTTTTCAGACTGAGTCATAATCGGTATTTGCTTCATGTTCTGTTGATAGAAATGAAATATTAATGTCTAATGTGAATTCAACAGCTAGACCCAAAGTCATCAAGTTTGATTTCTGAGAATAAACAATAAAATGAAATGAAATGAAATGGGGTTTAACGTCCTACTGTTCTGCTCCAACTGGGCTAATGAAGATGGGCATATGCCATACAGTGTGCTGTGAGGGAAATTCCAACTGCCAAGGGATCTTTTACGTGCATGCCAATGTACATACAGGACCTTGGTTTTCATGCCATCCAAATGACTAGACAGCTGTCCTTGTCAGGTTCTCTGTCCTGCATCACATTGGAAAAGAGAATAAACAAATCTCAGACAAAGTTTTTTTGGTTTTTTTCATTCACTACTCCTTTGTGACAAATCTTGCGATCTTCAGCAGATAAAACATTGCTTTCAGTTCCCAGATATAATAAATTGTATGGAAAATACTCTTTACCAGTTCATGGATCATATTCCTGGAATGAGCTTACTCGATAGATGCACACGACACCTCTATTTTCAAGTGTCAAGTCAACATTAAAGACACATCTGAGAAGCACTTAGAAAAAAACCCAGCGGACATAATTTAGCGCTATACAAGTCGATTTATTATTATTTTATGTCATTACCCTTATATTCATTATAATAGGTGCTGACTCTTTAACTTTAAATGGATGATGTATAAATGGCTGATCTTGTTCATTATCTGAATGGCTGACATTGGACTCGCTATCACTGCTGCTAAAAAGATGATCTTTTCCAACTAATCCTTTACAGAAGTCTGATGAAAGAAAAAGAAACAGTCACTTAAATATTTGGAACATCATCATAAGCAAGCAAGTACATATCGCAGAATTCAAAAAGTAACTCAATACTCATCTCTTTACTTCTATATAACACCATTTTCGGTGAGACAACTCAGCGCCATGGAGCACTTTACTGGATAATAGGCACTATATAAATACATTATTATTATTATTTTTATTATACCTAATTTGCAGTTTAATACCAATTACAGTGGTTTCAATAACAAACTTAAACATACATTATGCAAGAGCTAAATCTGCCAATTGCAGGTCTTTCTTTAGGCCTGAAATGTTATCTAAATTATTAATTAGACATTAATTAATCTATCCAGACCATAATCAACTCTAGATGACATCGCTAGCCTATGATCTTTAGTGGATTACGAGCTGATTTACTGCATAACTTTTTTTCACGATTTTACGATTAAATGGATAATCGAGACTATGCTGTTTATCGTACTGACTTTAGGCGTAAATTTCAATCGCTTAGTTCTCGGTTTATAGTGGATCAATTTGAATGAAATTTTCAGCAAATTGTCTTTACATTATCTAGTTTTTAACTATCATAGTGAGAATTGCCAACTCATTATCGAATCTCCCATAATTTATCTTTAAATACAAAATTTTAAAGATGATAAGACTGAACAGACTGAACAAATATCAACCAATCAAATTACAATACTTTTATGCGGCCACAGAAACTAGAGAGTAGAATATCACCTGTCAACTCTTCTACTGATTTTCCTCCAGATTTAAGACTTGCTATATCTGCTGAATTAACATTACCACCTTTCAGATTAGCTAAAGCATTGGCACTGAAATTAAAGAAGTGTTGAAAATTACAGCCTTATTCTACAGAGGTTGTTTCTAAAAAAGATCTCGGTCCATTTACCATACATATTGAGGCCTAAGTAAATGCTTAACTATTCAATGTCAACTGTCAATGTTCCCAAATCGACTAACCATTTCATCAAGAAATAACAACCACTCCCTCAGTCAAGCTAGCACACAATAAGCTGACAAGCAACAGGCGGGTTGCCAGTTAGTCATGATACCCTGACATTTTTGCCCTGTATGCACTCCATGGATGTTTTTCATGGAATCCAGTATTTTTCTAGTAAGATTGGATATTTCTACTTTTCATATATACCAAAATTGCCATACTTTTATTGGAAATAAGCACACAATAAATACTTTTGGGACAATGTATCTTTAAGGGGATATTTTTACAACATGGTGTGTATTCACTGTTATACTTACATAGCAATCTTTCTTAATTTTTTCTTATCAATCTGGAGTCGAAGATCACTGGAAGTTTCCTTTCTTCTGGATCTAGATTGAGACCTGGACCTTGACCTGGACCTGGATCTGGATCTAGATCTTGATCTTCGTCTTCTTCTAGTCTTAGAACGTGAATGTGATCGGGACCTTGATCTGGTTCTTGACCTTGACCGACTGTATTTAGAACTACGTTTATATCTATCAGTTTTTCTGTAAGTACTTCTCTCTCCTTTAACATCATCCAAGTAAGATCGAGCATCCCATCCTCTATATCAATATATAAAGTATATTCTACATTAAAAATTTGTCTCGTATTATTAAACATGCATTATGCAAGAGGTAAATCTGCCTATTCCAGGTCTTTATTTAGGTCCGGAATGTTATATAAACTATTAGACATTTTTTTTAACATGAAAAGACCATAATCAACTCTCGATGCCATCTTATGTGTCAGATTTTCATTTGATGATTAAATCTCAAAATGGATAATCAAGACTTTTTTTTTTATTGTACCGATTTCAGTAATGATGATAAAGGCTAGGCCTAAAATTCAATCAATACTATCTCAGTTCAGAGTGGAGCAATTTGACTGAAATTTTCAGCATATTCCCTTTACATTATCTTGTTTTTAACTATTATAGTGAGAACTGCCAGCTCTTTATCTAATCTCCCATAATGCCCCTTTAAGAACTAATTTTTAACAAAAATGAATTTGAACATTTTGCTATATAATAAGATTACAAAAAAAATAATTCCATTTGAATATTTGAACTATTAATAGTACAACTACTGGGTATCAGTTAACTACTTAATTAGTGTCTTTACAATATATCTTATGAACTAATTAATACATTTCAGACTGTTCTTCAAAAGAACACAAATCTTCCATTTGATATTGGATAAGTATATAGAAATAATGTACAAAAAACAAACCTATCACGGACTTCATTACTTGGATGTCTTGTTTTACTAGTTGATCTACTGTGTGATCTAGATCTAAAATACATAAATTCTTCACATATGAAAGATGGAATTGCTCACCTCAAAATTTAAAATATTTCATTTTGTGAGTGTGAATTGCCAAGTTAAATTAAGTTAAATTAAGGTGAGACAGAGAGAGAGAAATGCGGTTTAACGTCCACTTGACACAAACTAGGTCATTTCGGGACTAACACATGGTTCCATTTTTTATTTCAATAATTTGCTTGCGTTTAGGGGTCTTTAGCAGTGGGAGGAAACTGGAGAACCAGGAGAAAAGCCACAAGGTGACCCTACTCCTTGTCACGTACAACCCCGGAATCGAAACCCTGCCAGTCGACTCAATGACAGACCTTATGATACAGCGTGCATGTGCTAACCATTCGGACATCCAACCGCCCTTAAATTAAGGTAAATGTTTATGAAACTGGAAACTATATCTCTATATCTAATTTAGACAGACCAATCGATCATTACCTGGATCTATCATGTTTTATAACTGTATTCAACTTAGACCATTAGAACATTACATGGCTGAAATCAATCCGATTCAAATACTGATCTGTAATTCGTTTCTTTTTTTATTTATACATGAAGATCTGACCGGTTGTAGTGAAAGGTCAGTTGTAGTCAGAGGTAATACTACCGGCTTCTGACCCAATGACATCAGACATTTGATTAACCAATCAGTGTTGATGTTTCTAGTGGGTTACCCACAGTTCTGTGTACCTCACGCTAAAAACTCTTTGTAACAGAAAGTTTCATTGGCTAACCCCTCACATCATCCAGATTCTAGTGTTGTAAAAACAAGTAACACAAAATTTTGAACTATAAACAACGAAACAGAATCTGTGTTTTAATCAGAATAAACTGAATTTAACTTAGACAGAACATTACCAAGATCTATCCCTGAATTAACCTAAAACAGTGATTCTCAACCGGTGTGCCGGGAGATCTTCCTAAGTGTGCCGTGAAATTTTGAACGGCACACTAAGAAAATGCGAAAAGCCACTTGATCCCAATTGAGTATTCACAGGTGTCTACTGTACGTTCTTCGCAGTGTTTTTCTTTATTTAGTTTGAGTCATACTATGTGTCTATGACTAGTCTCTGTCTATGGTTGTATGCCGTCTATGACTTGCCATGTTTTCATTTTCAAAATTTAAATATTTTTCATATATATTTTGTCAGGTGTGCCGCTATTTTTCATGTGTTCCAAGGTGTGCCATTGCCAAAAAACGGTTGAGAACCACTAACCTAAAATAAAACATTGAACATTACCTAGATCTATCCCTGAATTAACCTAAAACATTGAACATTACCTAGATCTATCCCTGAATTAACCTAAAACATCGAACATTACCTAGATCTATCCCTGAATTAACCTAAAATAAAACATTGAACATTACCTAGATCTATCCCTGAATTAACCTAAAATAAAACATTGAACATTACCTAGATCTATCCCTGAATTAACCTAAAATAAAACATTGAACATTACCTAGATCTATCTCGTTTTCTTGTTTTATAACTTTCTGATCTTTCTCTCGAACCTTCTTTTGATCTTGATCTTGATCTTTTGTTCTTCTTTTTCTCTGATTTATCCTTTTCTTTGTCTTTGTCCTTGTCTTTATTTTTATGTTTTTTCTTTTTCTTGTGTTTATGCTTGTGTTTCTTCTTCTTTTTCTTTGAACCATTCTTTTCATCATCTGTTTCTGGCAAGGAACCGGTTTCGGACATTTTGCTTCCCTCTTCTTCATCATCATCATCCTCATCATCGTCATTATTACTATTAGAATTATCATCACTACCTGAAGATATCACTTCACCTGAAGAAAACATCAATTATCATCACTTCTCTGTTTCTCAGTAAAAAAACAAAATCAAACGGATTAGGTCACACAAAAAAAATAGTCCGGTTCTTAGATACTGCCGTGTCATCAAAAATGGGCCGCGTCACACGTCTTTATTTTTAAAAAAAAAAAAATATATAGTTATCCATTTCTGCATGTTCGTATTTCCTGCGATCAATTGAAGTAACTCTACTAAGCCTTTCTTGAAAAGAGGAGCGGAACACTAGACTCAACTATCAAGTATGTAACACTACAGACAATCTTAAACAGCACCGGATTGTCAATTTGTCGTTCCACAATATGGCGACATTTTGTTGTCAATCCGTCATTTTTTTACCATCAAAATGCCTGCATATGTTTCTCGAAAATTATAACTGATAACTGAGTGAGAGATGACCGAAAGTATTCTCCGTGGAGAGGTTGAGGGCACAGACTTCAATTTAAACACCAGACAAATCCATGCTTTAACAATACCACGTAATGGTTGCCAAAACAAAAACCGACAGATATGAAAACATTTTCCCATGTGTTAATCTAAATGAAGTCACAGACTTATTCTGCCGTCATTTCAAAATCTTACTTATTTTTCTTATTAAGAATAAAATAAATATTAAATTTATAATTTGGTGTGTTTCTTAAATAAGAAATTCTTGCTAGAATTTTGACAAAACAAAAAAAAAACGCCCTCCTGCATCAATTTTTTTTACAAAGGATTGTCTGAAGAGAGCCAGAATATTACACAAAATCAGGTGTTTTTCAATTCGTTTAATATTCTATATTTTACCAAAATAAATTTTACTTCTCAAGTGTAACAATGAAATTGGTGATACCTGCACCATTAGCAACTGATGACGTTACAGTGAGTGAGTTGATGACATCAACCCAGTTACCAACTTTTCACCAATTTCATTTTTTCACTTGAGAATGCATTTAGTTGCAATTGGTAATTAAAATATTAATAAAATTGGTTCATTGGCAGTGGCTTTAAAGTCCATGGAAACTTAATGTGTTATTCAAAAATTTAATATGACTTGCCAAACCATCTAGGTAAGTTACCAAACAAATCTCAAAAACTCTGACATGAAGAGTGGAAGAATGTGACTTGTGGACAGAGGGACTAGCAGGAATGAGAGAAATGGGGTTTAATGTTCACACAGACCAGGTCATTTTGGGACTAACATATGGTTCAATTTCATTTCATTAATTTACTTGCACATACATGTAGTGGTCTTTAGCAGTGGGAGGAAACCAGGCAACCCAGAGAAAACCCACGAGGTTGGACAGGTGACCCTACTCCTTGTCCCGTACAAGCGGGCAATCGAAACCACGCCACTCTACTCAATGATGCAATGCACGCAAAAAACATTCGCCCCCCCCCCCAAAGCGGGAAGTAACAATCAATGTTCTTCCACACGAGGGGAGTTGGATGGACGAATGGTTAGCAGGTGCGCGCTGTATCATAAGGTCTGTCATTGAGTCAACTGGCATGGTTTCAATTCCCCGGTTGTACGTGAAAAGGAGTAGGGTCGTCCGGTATCCTCCCACTGCTAAAGACCCTTTAAGTGCAAGCGAATTATTGAAATAAAATTGAACCATATGTTTGTCTCGAAATGGCCTAATTTGTGTCGAGTGGACATTAAACCTCATTTCTCTCTCTCTTCCACATGAAATGTTGGTACATGATTATAGCAATAACCTTCTTCTCTCCTTTTTCCTTTTTTATCATAAACTTCACCCGATGCTATAAACTGTGCACTATTATTAGTTATTTTTAGGCTTATATTTCCCGACTTGTTAATAGCTGGTTTAGATTTAAAAACTGGAGCAGACAGAAGTTCATCTTTATCTCCTTCAAGAAGATCCTTAGTTTTCCTCACTGGCTTTTCAAACACAGAAGATTCAATAGACACAGAACTTTGTTTGTTATCATCTGAAACATCCGTATTTGTTGTATTGTTTGTGTTTTTACCTGTTAAATTTATAATTTCAACAGTTTTACTGATACTGCCCGCTGTATCAGATTTTTCTTCATTGACTTCTGAATACTGACTCAATAACTCCAGTCCAGTCTTTGACTTTTTGATTTCACTTAATTTTGACCGCACTGATATCGACGGATCACTAAGATCATTGTTTTTGTTATTATCAGAATCAATTGACACACGACTGCCGTCATCTTTTACACTCGACAAATGGGTAGTATCATCATCGTTTGATTGATACCTAGTATTATCTTTATCTTCTCGGTGTTCACGTTTTTTCTTTTTATGTTTACTATGTCGACTTTCTCTAACTTCATCAGAAGTTTCTGACTTTCTTTTCTTTTTATGCTTTTTCTTTCGATGACTGTCATCCTTGCTGTCATCTGACTTTTGTGTCTTTATAAGGTTGATTTCGTGATCTAAGAGAGCATTTATTTCATCTATTGAAGCATGCTCAAAGGATTTATTTGGTGCAGCGACGACAGATGTAGTTTTTATTTGCGCATTCTTTTGCGCTAAAAAATCTTTAAATAATTCATCTACAATGGATTGAGAAGGATGAAACGTATTTACATCTTTCCCATTACTACTAGATTGTTTGTCTGATCTAGTTATCTCTCCATTATTAATATCAATCTCCTCTTGTAGTTTTGTTTTGATTTGTTTGGATTTATCCGAAGGTTCTTCTGGTAAGGGTATAACGTCTATAGGCATACCATCCATCTTTGTATTAATTGTAAAACAATCAGTCTATATCTACTACTTGCACATATAGCTAGTATCCTGTAAAATAACCAAAAACATATAGGAAACTCATAAACAATGAAATGAAATGAAATGGGGTTTAACGTCCTACTGTTCTGCTCCTAACCTGGGCTAATGAAGACGGGCATACGCCATACAGTGTGCTATGAGGGAAATTTTGCCCAGGCAGCGGCTCTACGGCCTACTCTTGTATCGAATTCCAACTGCCAAGGGATCTTTAACGTGCACGCCAATGTGTACACAGGACCTCAGTTTTTTCGTCCCATCCGAACGACTTCCGGCGTGGTTTCCCCTTGTCAGTGATGCAGGATGGAAGGCCTGACAAGGAGGATACCACGCTGGAAAAAGTGAATGAACTTTATCGGCCAATGCAGGGATCGAACACCCGACCTCCAGGCTAGCGAGCCAGCGTCTTACCCACTTAGCCACGTGATCCCCCAACTCATTAATTACCGGCAGGCCTACTCCTGGAAACAAGCTATAATTATAAAAATAAAAACCTAATCAAGACCACTGGGGTAATGACAAGCAGATGCTGATTGACACGCCACCCTTGGGTAAGACGCGAGGCCCCAACTGACAATCTTGTTTCATGGCTTTTTGAGTTCATTGATGGGAGCAACTTCCTGTAATTAGAGGAGAAAGTAATGGGACAAAATTTCGAAGCCTACCTGCCAATTCCGCATGTTTTGTGAGAATTGACAGAATATTTGTAGCCTACAGTCTGTCACCAAAGACCCACTCCCACTAGTGCTACTAGTACTACTAACTGGGCAATTCACATTCTAACACGAGGATTGATGCAATTATGACAATGCAAGGGTCACAAGTGGGCATTCATTGTTGTCTTGCCACAACCCTCCACTTCAAACACTGTGGGATTTCCAAGGTACAATCACCGCAGGCTATATATAGCATACTACAGATAGATAATTAGAATAGAAGTTAATACTAATACTAATAGAACTTTAGACTACACTCGTCACTCCCCTATTCTAGACACGGTGGATAGAGAGAAATGGCATAGGTTGCTGGCCTACTTTAGCCATAATTAATAGTAATATTAGTAACTACTGCTCAATATCGACGGCTACATTTTACGACTGGCCCCCGGATGCATTCACAGTGATTCACTTGATTTGATATTTGTTGTTTATTTTTTGCAACGTTTTTTTTTTAGGTCTTTTGTTTTGCGTGCTTTTCGGTTCTGCTGCACTTACTATAAGCCATGAAATGACATTCATTATTAATTAACCTAACACCACTGGCTAAATATTTAATACTGTTATATACCGTTATCATTGCACCTTTTCCATGGTCATTTATTATTATAACAAGGCCAACCTCGAGGTCTTGCCTTTTCGGTCGCCATCATTTCGTCCTCACCGGATATAGGCCTAGCGTAGCCGAAATCAACCAGACATAGATATTTGTGCGCGTTACCAGTCTACGCTCTGATACATGGAGCAGCCATCCTGGGGGTGCAATAAATTGTGGATCTCCAAATCACTTTATATTTACATGTATTTTCGTATCAACAAATCTAATATTGTTCAGTAGCCATACATGTTTACCTTACATATTCACAATAATTAACAACGTTTTATGGTAATAAGGCATTGTGTGTAACACAGTTACTATAATGTCCATAGGTGCTACAGAAACTACAAATGTGTGACAAATTTTGGGGCACCAGTATTCATGTATGGGGGGTTTCCTCCCACTGCTAAAGACACCTACCCACAAGCGAATTATTGAAATAAAATTGAACCATATGTTAGTCCCGAAATGACCTAGTTTGTGTCCAGTGGAGTTAAACCCTCTCTCTCTCTGGTATTCATGTCTCTGATCATCATTTGAGAGATTTTAAATCCCTAGGAAGTTGAATCTCTAAAAGTAATATCAGTCAAAAAATGGTTCAGTTCGGTTCACTATATACAAAGATATATTGGATTGAATTTTCTTTTTTTTTTCTAAGTGGGTAAGGTGCTGGCTTGCTAGCTTGGAGGTCGGGTGTTCGATCCCTGCATTGGCTGAGAAAGTTCATCCAGATTTTCCCGCGTGGTTCCCCTTTGTTAGTGATGCAGGACAGAGGGCCTGACAAGGACAGCTGTCTAGTCATTCGGATGGGATGAAAAACCAAGGTCCCGTTTACACATTGATATGCCCGTAAAAGATCCCTTGACAGTTGGAATTCGATATAAGGGTAGGCCATAGTGCCGCCGTCCGGGCAAAATTTCCCTCATAGCACACTGTATTGCATATTCCTGTCTTCATTCGCCCAGTTGGAGGAGAACAGTAGTACATTAAAATTCTTTTGATTTTCATTTGTTTTGATTTTGTTTATGTTACATAATGTAAGTTTAGCATGAATTAAGCTGTGAACAATTAAAAATTGTGCGAAAAATGCAAATGACAACCACCATTGTGTCTGATCGGGTGAGAGAGACATAGTCCGATCTAGAAATGGTTCTACTACTGACATCTGATTACTTCAGCTTTCCACACAGTTTACCCTGACAATATTGTAGCCAAGTCCGATCAGACACCGTTCTAGGTGAGAGAGAAATGGTCCGATCAAACATTGTTCTAAAGGAACTACATTAGGAGGTACCGACTTACTCCATTTTCTAAATACTCTGTGTGACACATTGGAGATGATCACTGCTTATAACTTCTTGTGTTTTCTGATTCATCTCTAAAGAAAACTGCACAGCTTCCTGAGGTAATGTTTCTTTTGGCGGGGAGCTCTCTCCCCCCAGCTTTGAACATTTTTGAGAACTACATGGTCTCTATTGTCATTTTGGCGTATATCTGGGGTATCCAGAGGTCATTTTGATCAATCAGAAACTGGGATTTTACATAAAAATATACTAAATACATGTACCTACTACGCTACGTTTTAGTTTTACCGATATGCAATAAAATCAGTTCTGTACAATTTTGACAGGAAACTTAAAGGAAGCAAAATAGAAAAACAAAAACTGACCGCGACTGTGTCAAACACCAAAATATCAAATTCATCAAAAAAGAACCACAGATAACTTGACAAGAGCCTAAAATAGAGTTTTGCACAATTTCGACAATAAATATAATAGCGTGGATGTTTTTTGATGAACCTTTACATTGTGTCATCGACATCTAGTTCTAAAGTATAGTTAACGTTCATTAGGACTAAGCCTGTCAGACGACCATCCGTCATAGAAGAACCATCTGATGATAAAGCACGGGATTGTGACACTTTTTATTTCAAAACATTTTATGTGACTCTACACCCCCCCTCCCCCATCTGGCCCGATAATGCATTTAGGTCGTCTAATGGTCTCGAGCTTAAGATATTGCGTAGTCGGGCCTATGGCCCTCTTGTTGTTACAATATATTACTTAATGTCTCGCTCTTGACCATTAAACAATACATAATAATGTCATTATTAATTAACACATCATTGTAATAAAAGACAATTTGAAAGATAAATATTTTTTTTTTTTTTTCAGATAACTACTTTCTTCATTTCTTTAAATGTAATTGATAAATTCTCTACACTACAAATACACTATTATTTCATATTCTTTTTAATAAAAACATTTCTTGTTAAGTTTCTAAAAAAAATACATTATTATAGTCATACAGTTTCATAACACATTTATACTTGTATTCATACTATGACATTGACAAGTTAAAATTTAGTAAATCTGCAGCATTATATTTCTTTTAATATACAAGTCAATATGAAGTTTATAATGATCTGGAATTAAAGATGATGTCCCACATATATTTTAGTGAATAAAACTAGTTAAACATACATTATGCAAGAGGTAAATCTGCCTATTGCAGGTCTTTATTTAGACCTGAAATGTTATCTAAATTATTAATTAGACGTTAATTAACTTATTCAGACCATAATCAACTCTCGATGGCATTGCTAGGCTGCGATGTTTATGGGATTGTGTTCCGATATGCTGTTCGACTTCCATTCATAATTAAATAAAAAAAATGGATAACCGAGACTATGCTAAAATCTTGGTTCATAAGTAGATCAATTTGACTGAAATTTTCAGCAAATTCCCTTTACGGTATCTAATTTTTAACTATTATAGTGAGAACTGCCAGCTCTTTATCTAATCTCCCATAATGTATCTTTAATTGTATTTATCTATCATAATTTTATTATACTATTTGAAGCTCTGTGACAAATATCACTCATGTGTGTTTGGTGATCAGGGTGTCTGGACTGAATATGACTATGCAAGTAGTCCAAACTTTAAAATAGCAAGTGATGGTCCAATAATCGGTTTCAACATCGGTAATTGGCCGATAAGTGACCTATCGGTAGAAATGGGTACTGGCCAATTTCTACGGTCATATTGCCAATTCGGCTGAATCAGTCGGCTCCAAAATTCATCTAGTGTGTCCACAGTCATTCAACCGAATTTCTATTCGGCCGAATGATTCGCTCGAATCAAACATGGCAGTATTATATTCGCCTACTGGGTGTCCGCTTAGCCGAAGCATTCGCTCGATTGTAGAATTCATTAGCTAATCACCACTCGTATAGAGAAGTCACATGATTGTTTCAAGACACAATCGCTGCCATGTTTAATCAAGTGACGTGAAAGATGATGCAATCGACTGGCTTAACGAACAAAGGATTCACCTAGTGTGTCCACTCATTCGGCCAAATCTCATTTGGCTGCAATGTGGCTAGTCTGTTCAACTAACAATTAAGTTCATAATAATGGTGTGTATTTTTGACTGCGTCAGAAGCGTGACCCAATTATTCCTTCAAAAAACATTGTGTTCTTGTCTGATTCATGAGGTAAATAGCACCAGGCGTTTCACGACATGTATCTACATCGATTATCATTTTATACAGGCCATTTTAATAACATGTGTAATAGTTTTATATCGACCACTATCAGTAATTGTATCTGTATCGGCCGATATATGTTTCGTTGTCAATATTTGATATCGATAAAATCTATAGTAACCATAACGGATCATCAATTATAAAGATCCACCATGTCCAGTCCTTTCATGCAGTTAAAAATACTATTATTATGACCATCTACAAATTTACTAAATCTAACAAACATCCAGAATCCTCAAATATCACATATGAAAACTCCCATTCTGAAATCAATTGGCTACCAAAATAATGTATGCTTACATAGTGACATTATAGAGATAACCAATGGGTATTATTCAAGAAACAGTGCTTAAATTAATATGCATATTGCATACTTAACAATTAGCACAATTAAAAGCTAATTAATAACAACAAATTATTCTGGCTAGACTTATTGAAATTTAAGTATTTACTTGATTGTGGTGGCTACAAAAATAATTTCAGTTGTATTACGCCATCCAATCTGATTAAAATACAAATCTATATTTCGTTTCGTTTTTTTATACTTTCAATGGACTCTACTACATGAAGATCTGACCAGTTGTAGAACGAGGTTGCGTCACGCGTCATACGAGCGGCTTTTGACCCTATGACATCAGACATTTGATTAACATAAGCGTTGATGTATTTAGTGGAATGCACACAGTTTCGTGTAAAACACGCCAAGAACTCGCTGCAGCAGACTGTTTCATTGGCTAATCCCTCACATCAACCAGAAGCGAGTTATATAACAACTCTTCCAGATCTTTGTGTAGTAAAGACAAGTAAAACGAAATTTTGAACTATAAAACACAAAACGAAATATGATCTGTGTTTTAATCAGATTATATGCCATCTAGCAATTCTTTTGAATTATTTAGAATGGTTCAATATTTTGAGCAACAAACTCTGGTTTTGTATTTCCAGACAAGGTAAACAGGATACATTTAGCTTGATACCCTGTTAAATACGTACGTCACACAACGAAACAATCATCAAATTTGGCAAAATCACAGTTAATTTCATTATGAATGTTGAAATAGTATATTTCTTATGAAATAAATTGCAAGATTGGGCATTATTTGACAGTCATGTTGTTTATTTGATTTTATAGCAGACCACTCATGATTAAAGAACAATATAAACACATCATGTTACCATATGTCTGCACAATGATTAGTTGATTTTATAGCAGATACTGCCACTCATGATTTAAGAACAATTTAAACATATCTGCATAAATAACAAAGATTACATGTTATAAACGCCAAAAACTAGTACAATATGCCGGATTACACAGCATGTCATAATACTAAATTGCCTCATGTAGTTTTTTAATTCAAACTAATTGCCCTAATTTAACTAAGCCCACTATCTATGGAAGACCAAACAGCTCTTTATTCTTAGTTCTTAATTCATTATCCTGAATGAAGAAATAAGAACTAAAAATATTAAATAACGAGCTGTTTGGTCTTCCATAACTATCTTTAAAAACAACCCAATAAAGTTCCTAATGGAATATTTCTGTTTTAACGATACCATTATCAAACAACATTCAAGCTTAAAAAAATGGATATTGGCTTTTAAAATTGTTATGGATTCAAATTAAAAATAACAAATTTGATTAAGTTTTTTGACCAAAAAGTTCTCTCCACATTATACAATAAATAATACATTTATGTAGATCTATAATCTTGTTTTGTAAAATGAGTTTAAGATCAGAATCTTTTTACCGTACCTCAGTTTACAAAATAATAATTTGGTTTTCCCAATTAATATCACTTATAAATTGTATGAATGGAATTCTTGGGTTCTGTAATAAAATGACTTAAAGAATGTTCATTGCATAAATATTCTTTTAATGCTTAATGATAATATAAGCTGAGACAAATGATCTTCTTGTTTCGTATCTCACTTTCCAAACCGTTGTTCTGTTTTTCCATATATATTCATAACTGACAAGAAAGCTTTATAATTTACACCTTTATGGGAAGGCAATTTTCTGAAACAAAATCAAATATTATTTTCAAATAGAACAAAGCATAAACATGACAATAGAAAATTAGCACCAAGAGACAGTTATCACCAATTTCAGCAAGTGTACATATTTTAAGCCAGGACAATAACTCTGCAAAAGGTTGCTACATTATTAGTTAAATCCTTACAGTCCTCTTTTTGAAAATATCAATTCTAATATGAAGAACTAAGCTTGCATAAGCTTTTGGCACGAAAGGCATTTATTAAATCCCGGCAACACTGGTCTGTAGAGAGAGAGAGAGAGATGGTGTTTAATGTCCACTAGACACAAATTAGGTCATTTCGGGACTAACACATGGTTCAATTTTATTTCAATAATTTGCTTACACATAGGGGTCTTTAGCAGGGGGAGGAAACCGGAGGACCCAAAGAAAACCCACAAGGTTGGACAGGCAACCCTACTTCTTGTCACGTACAACCGAGGAATCAAAACCACGGCAGTTGACTCAATGACAGGCCTTTATGATATGGCGCACACATGCTAACCATTCGGCCATCCAACCCCCCCTGATCAGTAGACTGTGCAAACATGTTATAGGATGATTGCTCTACTCAAAATATCAGAAAATATCTTGAAATAACATAGAATAAATAAATTAAGAATTCCCAGATATAATGGAGACAAGATCACTAATAGAGTAACACAATCCTTAAACATACATTATGCAAGAGCTAAATCTGCCTATTGCAGGTCTTTAGCCTTGAAATGTTATCTAAATTATTAATTAGACATTAATTAACTTATCCAGGCCATAATCAACTCTCAATGGCATCGGATTTCTCTGATATTAAATAGATTAGAACAGTTCTGCCATATTTTGATTTAATTTAAAAATGGAGGAGAGAGACTTAGCTTCGAACAACCAGTACGGTGGTTGAAATTATTGCACACGTCTTGTCAAATCTTCAAAGGCTAATATCTTCGCTCGCAATAGAGTAATTTGAATGAAATTTTCAAATTATTTATTTTACATTATCTATTTTCAAACTATTATAGCAAGAATGGCTAGCTCTTTATCTAAATCTTACATAATGTATCTTTAAACACTAATCAATATTTTAAGATAAGAAATTCCAGATACCCAGTTGAGAGAGAGAGAGAGAGAGAGAGAGAGAGAGAGAAATGGGGTTTAACGTCCACTCGACACTAACTAGGTCATTTCGGGACTAACATATGGTTTAATTTTATTTCAATAATTCGCTTGCACGTAGGGGTCTTTAGAAGTGGGAGGTTGGACAGGCGACCCTACTCCTTGTCACGTACAACCATGGATTTGAAACCACGCCAGTTGACTCAATGACAGGCTTTATGATACAGCACGCACGTGCTAACCATTTGGCCATCCAACCCCCCAGATACCCAGTTGAATGAACCTTTAATTTGATCATTACTTTATGTATCTATAAAAACTGTAGTGAGGATAAATAATCAATATAATCAATTCTCTAAGTTGACAACTGTTATTGATTTGTAGGTAAAAAAATCAATAAATACTATATTTAGCAGGGTTCACATTTTTTACGTTCATCTATATATGTACACATGATAAATAAGGGAAAAAATTGAAATGCATTATGCACACTTTATTACTTACAAAATTTCTGATAATCTAATTTGCCATGGTAAATAACCTAGAAGACTGTCAATATGACCTACTAATATAACCAAATCTGGGTCTGGTAACTGAAATATTTCTGAAATCATAAACAAACAATGAAATACTACACAACCTACTAATGCAGAACATAATAACACATGTGTGTTGGGGCCTTTAAATAAATATATAAGTTAATGAGGTTTACCATCCTACTTTTCTGCACAGACTGGGCTAGTGAAGACAGGAATACATCATACAGTGTGCTGTGAGGGAAATTTTGCCCAGACAGCAATGCTACGGCCTACCATTATATCGAATTCCAATTGTCAAGGGCTCTTTTACGTGCATACCAATGTGTATACGGGACATTGTTTTATTGTTCCATCCCAACAACTAGACACTGTCCTTGCCAGGCTCTCAGTCTTGCACCTAATGACAAGGGGAAACCATGCTGGACAATTCCAAAGAACTTTTCGGCGAACATCGGGATTGAACGCCAGACGTTCTGGTTACTGAGCCAGCACCTTACTCACTGAGCCAAAGTGACTCGAAATTACAATTTAATAAAATGATGTGAATTATAACTTTAAAGTGACAAAAGCAAGCAAAATATAATAATCAGATTTGTGGAGTGAGAGAGATGAATGGAGTTTAACACCCACTCGACACAAACTAGGTCTTATTTGAATAATTCACTTTCTGATACGGGACATTAGCAGTGGGAAGGAAAGCAGAGGACCCAGAGAAAACCCACGAGGTTGGACAGGCCACCCTACTCCTTGTCACGTACAACCAGGGAATCGAAACCACGCCAGTTGACTCAATGACAGACCATATGATACAGTGCGCACATGCTAACCATTCGCCAACCCCCCACCAGATGTGTGGTGTGGAAGAGTATATTATTATATAGCTTACTTTGTATATGTGAATCTACACTACTTGGCACTATATCTTCTATAAGATATTGATTATTATTAACAAGTTCACAAAAACTGTGAGTAGCTTGTACTAAATTTTGTCTTCCATCCTCTGCTGCTACTACATGAACTCTAGCCTGCTTAGAGCAGCTGCCATCTACAATATTAAATTCAAAGATTACATACAAGAAACACTTTCACTAAACTGCTAATATATTTGAATACAAATGGATCTACCAAACACTGATACACACTTGTACATCTCCATCATGTAGATGTTAAATATACGAACATTGATATGTTTAAGAGGCGTTTACACAATACAACCAATCCATACAGCCGATGAATCCAACATATTGGACGACTGTTTGCACGATACGATAGTTCTATTCGTTGTATGGCCACATTTGTTCCTTCTTAGTAACTGAATAAAATGGCGGTCTCATCCCCGTCTTCGTATAGATTTGATCCCTCAGATTCCACAAAGTCCATGCTTCGTATACAGAGTTAATAGATATTCTAATTCAGTCACGGATAGGTTTAGAATCCATTTTAGAGGATGTCAAAGTACTTGAAACGACATAAAACATCTTTAATCAGGAATTCAGGCTGCCAAGTCAGAGATGACGCCATACAGCGTATGACGTTGTCTTATGTAACGCGATTATATTAGCTATTGCATCAGTTGGTCGGATGAGAATAGAACTGATCCTATCCATACAACAAGCTGTCCATCCGACCATTTGTCTGATAAGTTGGTTGGGTTTTGACCATTGCATCCGACGGTTGTATGGATTGGTTGTATCGTGTAAACGACGCTTTAATGTGTTATAGAGAAAGAGAGAGAGAAATGGGGTTTAACGTCCACTCGACACAAACTAGGTCATTTCGGGACTAACACAGGGCTCATTAATGTGTTAAAGAGAAAGAGAGAGAGAAATGGGGTTTAACGTCCACTCGACACAAACTAGGTCATTTCGGGACTAACACAGGGTTCAATTTTATTTCAATAATTTCAAGAGGTTGGAAGGTGACGCTACTTCTTGTCACGCACAACCGGGGAATCAAAACCACGCCAGTTGACTCAATGACAGACCTTATGATACAACGTGCACGTGCTAACCATTCAGCCATCCAACCCCCCCTCTTTAATGTATAATAACTAAGGGAACTATACTATTTATATTATTAACAATAACCTTCATTATTAGCTACATTTTTCTTGTTATTGCTAACAGATAAACTGATTTCAAACTTGGTCTCTTCTGAAGCAAAAGTTTCTTGTTTACTTCTTTCAATTTGCTGCTGCAATAATATACTATTTCTCTTTATTTCACCTGAAAAAAATAAATAATGCAAAAATATCACGAAGAAAATAAGCTCTTGTTGAAGATACAGCACAGCACTAACTGCCAAACACAAACAATACAAAAAGTCAGCGACAAGGCCCACCACAAAAAAGGGGCTATACTATATACCGAAAAACAAACGGAAAACACCATGTTATACTGAATACCGGAAAACACCATGTTATACTGAATACCGGAAAACACCATGTTATACTGAATACCGGAAAACACCTGAAAAACAGTAAATACTGGAAACCACCCTAAATAGGTAACCCGGAGAAGGGCTATGCTATAAACCAGAAACTAACCCTAACCCTAACACACAGAGGACCAGGCTCCCGGTTACCTATTTAGGGTGCCAGTCTCCGGGTTACCTATTTAGGGTATTTTCCGGGATTTAGTGTTTTTCCGGTATTCCGTATAAAATGGTGTTTTCCGGTTGTTTTCCGGTGTTTTCCAGTATATAGTATTGCCGCAAATAGATGAAGTTCAAATGTCAAAATGAAATGAGATCCTGTCACAGGATATTTTTGCTCCAGCCAAGTGACATCAGGTGTTAGGGGAAAGTTGCGTTACTGTCCATTTTTTGGGTGATTTCACGAAAGTCTTCATCGTTAAGTAATTACAAACCAGGATAGGACCTGAATGGATTGGATGATGGGTCAAATTCTACATGAAACAAAATGTATTTTTTGTGCCTACGGAATTTACCGAGTGACAACTTTCATCTCTTGAGCATTTCTTTAGACAAAAAGTTAGCAGAAGAGTGCAGGGGTTTTTTCCATGGGGAACCCAAGAGGGAAAGATCTGAATGATATAACTCTATGAACCCTGGAACAGGTCAGATAGTGTTAGAAAATAATAATATCTCTTCGTTCTCATACATGTACCATTCCTACTTGTACCAGTTGGTCATTTCACCAACCATGCCATATGGATTAATTCTAGTTGAGTCCATTTGAATTACCAGTTTTGTTAGAACTTAGTGATACATATACGAAACATGAAGGCAATGGGTCACATGGCTTCACACACAAAATAATACACCCATTCATCATTGACGTGACTGACATTGATTCTGATGGATTTGTCAATCATTTCTCATGAAAACAGCTGCACATAAATCATGTCATAATACTCACCATTTATATCGTAGACGCTTACATATGATATACCCATAGCCACTGACCAGACAATTATATTTGCAATATCTCTATAAGAAAAGTTGTTTTCAACAATAACAAGACCCACATGCATGGGTAATTTCTTTAAAAGTTTAGCATCTGATCGTATGCTGGCCACAAGGTTCTTTTTACTGTATACCATTCCATATAAATTCGGAATGCTAAAAATCAAATCGTGCATGAACACACTTAGAGCAATTACATAATGTAAAAATCTTAAAATAATTGCTGTTATCATTTTGCAGACATCTGATCAAATATAATGTGATGAAATTCATCCAATATTTACTTTCCACCGGTTTAACACACTGTTTCCGGTTGACATAACAGGTCCGCGGTAAATAAACACGTTTGTTCCATTGGATAAATTTCAATGAAATAGACAGTATTATCCAGTCCATCAACATTCGGTGTCCAATGTAATGTAACTTCTCTTGCATTCTGAACTACCACATTGCCATAACCTGTTATCTTTACAGTTGGCATTTTATGGGCAATGGACTTATTGCCCTTGAACCAAAATCTTCAAAATGCTGCCACGCCCCAAGACAGATTTATTGGCTGGACTTCTCCCCCGACAAAGGCCTCCCAATGGGGTAAAATGTTCTACAGCACTATTCTGCATAAACTGGGATAATGAAGACAGGCATACACATCTTGGAATTTCACGGGTTAAACCTCGGTGTTTCATCCCGTCCAACAATCTGTTTTACAGACCTAATTCGACATCCGTCTTTTATCTCTGTCCAAGATGACTGACCTTTAAAAGGTCAGACCGCTGTAGTTCTAAGGGTGACGTCACATCACAATGTTTACCAACAAAGCAAGATGGCATCGATAACGCCAAAAAAGATTACTTCTGTGGCTTGTTTTTGTTCGTTTTAAAACAAACACGAGCAGGTCAATCAGATTAGGCAGTAAAAAATGTACTTCTGAAAGAATTCAGAGTAAACAAACAGAAAAAACGTCAAATTGATGGTCACACGTGCGTTGTTTACATCGAACGTAGTAATATGAACTGGTACGGGCAGAATTATATCGTTTTACCCATTTTACGCCTCCGCGTACTATTTTCTGTACCTATTTACGCTAAATATGGAATATTTTTTATCAAGATATACTTCAAACACCTTTATTTATTTTTCTAATACTAAAAAAAAATGTTTCAGAATTTAATTTGTCGAAAGAAAAAAGTTAATATTTTGTAGTCATTAAGTCGCATCGATGTCATCCTTATCAGTGATTGTAGCGGCCAAGCGAATATTCACTGCGGATCAGTGTGCCCGTCCAAAAGACTGGCCCTCTCCGTCCTTCACAAACACCAGTTCATTTAATTTGATGGTTTTACTGAAAGTTTGGGACACAAAGGGGAAAAATAAGGCATTTTATTTATTTGATCTTATGGGCCACTTGCAATACAACGTGTCATCTGCCCTGGTGGTCCTGCTCTTATATTTGACATTACTAAAAGGTCTCCCAAAACAAGGCTTCAACTCAGTCAGAAATGCATGTGTAGATCCACTGTCTTAAAAACTGATCAAAAGTGATTCAGACCCAAGGTTCAATTAACATACTCCATTATGATTTGGAAACATGGTACCCTCGATCTCCCCTACATATATATCAAGAGCTCGTAGGGAAATGTGCTCACATGATTGGTGTGTACATAGATTTTTTGTTTTGTTGACAATTAAAGACAGAACAAAAAAACTTACGGAGTAATAAAAGTACATGTAGTTCATTGCTCAGCAGCCTATATTTGCTATTTGAGCACCTTTGTATTTTCCATGTGTCAACAGAGCAGCTGTATTGTGGTCAGACACAGAGTAAAAGTTTTTTGGTTTTTTTTGCCTAAGTAGAAGTATATTTTCAGATTATCAAAATTTTGATGGAGGTCGACACAAACTAGGTCATTTCGGGACTAACACATGGTTCAATTTTCTCCGGAGGAGTTGGACAGACGAGCCTACTCCTTGTCACATACAATCTGGGAATGGAAACCCCGCCAGTTGACTCAATGATAGACCTTATGAATCAACGCGTGAGCGTTAACCATTCACCCCCCTCCCCGAATTGAAATTAAAGACTCAGATAGCACAATCAAGAAGCTGATATGGCATAAAGCCACCCATATCTTTCCTTCAAGGTAGATGACACAATTTTTACTCTTCCTATTCGGTTACACATTTCAAATTGACACTTAATAGATAACTTTAAACATTTTATTTCAATATATACTAAATAAAGCATGTTAATAATCAATATTTTATTAAAATAGAAATACATAATATTAAGCTTAAATATAAAAATTAAATGTATCCCATTAAACAAATATGTAATAGTATGTTGCTGCTACAAATAAAGCAACTCATATATAAACATGTTTTTGTTCGACATAAATGTATATTGCTAGTATGATTTGGCTTTACATTAATTGTATAATACTTAAAACATACTGCATATACTAAATTCTAATTACAGCAATAAAATTTTAGACATTATTTGGTATATTTAATTTCATTTTGTTACATAGGTTCATTCTGACCTGCAGACCAAGCAGCAACAGAACAATCATGATGCATTAAAGGGTCTTTTAACATGAAATGTAACGAAGATGAATAAATCACCTCTCATTTCTACCTAAACCCTTTTTTTGTGCTGCTGTTGAGCGGGAATTTTTAAATATGTAAATACTCTGTTAAAAATATATAAACAGGTCACCTTTAGTAAAATGATTATAAATTCTGATGAACAAGACATGAATATACATTTTATGATGTTATCTGATATTGTTATCTATTTCCAGGAACGGAGAAGAATAACGAAATATTGTTGGGGTAACATAGTCTTCGAAGTGGTCAGAGATATCGGTAACTAAATATATCAACATTGGTCTACATTGGTCTAGAAATACTTGTACTTTAAGATTATAAACATACAAATTACTTTACATTAAATAAAAAAATACGTTTATTAAAGATACATTATGTAAGATTTAGATAAAGAGCTGACCATTCTTGCTATAATAGTTAGAAAATAGTAAAATGAAAATATTGAAAATTTCATTCAAATTACTTCATTCTCAGCCAAGTTATCACTATGTGTGCATAGTTGTAACCATGGCACTGGTATGTTTAAGACTTAGCCTCGCTTTCCCATTTTTAAATTAAATTTTTAAATGTCGAATCGTTCTAATCTAGTTAAAATCTCGAGTATTCGATGTCATCGAGAGTTGATTATGGTCTTGTTTAATTAATAAATGTCTAATTAATAGTTTATATAACATCTCAGGCCTAAAGAAATACCTGCAATAGGCAGATTTAGCTCTTGCATAATGTATGTTGAAAATCTGTGGTTACTAAAAATGTTGTTGAATTTTCAATATTAGACAAGCTAAGATAAGCATTAACACAAACTATTCTCTAATATGTTTTACCATTTGTGGCAAAGTAACATTAAAAATATTTCTATACCCCTAGGAAAGTAGGTAATTTACCGTTCCACAGACCAGAATGTTTTTCTTTTGCTCTCGATTCATTAAATCAGTATTATTGAATATATTACATATGAAATTCGACAATATACAATCTTAGAGAGCACTTATGGTAATGTTGACCTGGAAGAATGTTTTTAAGTTAAATGACAAAAGAACCAACTGCTGAAGTCTTAGCTCTGTAGTTCTACATAATTTGATGGAAACAATCCACTTTTTCCCCTACAACTACCTCGCCACCATCCTTCATCAATCTGAAAACAAAGCATAATATATATATATATGTAAACTTGAATTTTACTAATAAATAATTCCTCTTACCTGGCAAATAGAGCAAGCCATAATTATATTTAACAATAGGTCCAGAGATTTCTGGCAATACCTCTCTTGAAACAAAATTTTAATATACTATTCAAAAAAAGTAGGGGATATTTGATTTTGGGGGCATAATACTAAAATATGCAAATGACTACGAAAAAAGTCACTATAGAACCTAACAGAAGAAACATTTCCAGTTACATGTGACGCCCAAACGCACCAATAGCTACCGCATGGAATGCAGGTGATGCTTGGGATCATCATGGGGGTCCAACCCAAGATTTGCACGACTCTGACTTTGAATGTTACAGTCATTGTGGCATTGAATTCCAGGGTGGAAACATCAGTTTAATTGTTTTAGTGACCAGAAAACAAATTTTGATATGCGTCGGCTTACCCAAAATGAAAGGTTACGTGCCCTTGGCATGCTACAGATCGGCACAACACAGGCGGTTGTGGCGCGGGCGATGAATGTTTCTCAGTCTGTCATAAGCAGGCTATGGTCCAGATACCGTGATACACAATCTGTATAGGACAGACCACGCTCAGGTCGACCAAGGGCGACAACTCAAGCCCAGGATCGATTTATCCGTACCTTGGCCTTGAGAAATCGTGTCATTACAGCAAATCAGATCAGCGCTCGTCTTCAAACAGACACTGGTGTGAGAGTGAGTGGCCAGACGATTCGGAATCGACTGCATAGGGGTCACCTTCGCGCCCGACGTCCTCGCGTGATCCCTTGTTTGAGAGATCATCACATTCAGGCAAGACGTCGTTGGTGTAGTGATCGTCAACACTGGGATAATCGACGCTGGAGCAATGTGATGTTTTCAGATGAGTCAAGGTTCACTGTTGATTTTTTGGACAGACGTAGGAGGGTGTGGCGTCGTCGAAACGAGCGCTTCCAAGACGTTAACGTCATCAGACATGATCGATTTGGGGGTGGTTCTGTTATGGTGTGGGGAGGCATCACTGTTGCTGGAAGAATGGCTTTACATGTTGTTGCAGGGCGTGTTACAGGCCAGTACTACCGGGACAACATCTTGGCAGTCCATGTTGTGCCGTTCGCACGACGTCATGGCCGCCGTTTCATCTTCCAGGATGACAACGCAAGATGTCACAGGGCCAGGATCGTTACAGGTTACCTCCAACAACAGAACATCACCACATTACCTTGGCCAGCACTGAGTCCCGACCTCTCCCCCATCGAGCATGTCTGGGACATGCTTGGACAGAGGTTACGTCAACGTCAACAACGTCCTGCCAATGTCCAAGAACTTGCTGCTGCGTTGCAACAGGAATGGGACAATCTGGACCAAAATGGCCTTAGACGTCTCATTAGGAGTATGCCACGTCGGATCAATGCTTGTTTGGCAAACAGAGGAGGATTTACCCGTTACTGACTTGGTTGTGATGCTGTGGTAACTTTGCTGTTTGACCCCGGGTATCATTTTACCCTTATAATGGTCAGTCTGTGCCTTACTTAGTCTAACGATCATTTGGAATAAATCGATGAATGTGAACTTCATTTCATTTTGTCATTTGTTTCTTCGTCAGTTTCATTAGGTGACTTTAATAACACTTAAAAATCAAATATCCCCTACTTTTTTTGAATAGTAAAGTTTAAGAGCCAAACAATAAAAAAAACATTTTTAGACAAGTACCACCATACCATGGACCAGGAACCGAATATCAACCCAAATCATCTTAGAATTGAGACATCGTATCACAAATTCAAATTCTGTCAATCAATGATCAATTGTCCAAGGAACAAGCATGCCAAGTTTCATATTGATGTGGATTGTGGAACCATAGTTTTTTTTGCAGAGCGTCACTCCCAAGAACAACAAGATGGGCAGTGTTTGGGGACCAGTTCCTGGTACAGCAAGTCTAGTTTGCAGATAGAGAGAGAAATGGGGTTTAACGTCCACTCAACACAAACTAGGTCATTTCGGGACTAACATATGGTTTAATTTTATTTCAATAATTAGCTTGCATGTAGGGGTCTTTAGCAGTGGGAGGAAACCAAAGGACCCGGAGAAAACCCACAAGGTTATGATACAGCGCACAAGTGCTAACTGTTCGGATATCTCCCCCGCCCCCCCCCCCCGTTTGCAGATAGACAGAAACGTTTAAAGTAACGGATATTAACACCAACTCAATGGATCCTATGGGTTGTCTCACTAACAAGTTTCAAAAATAAAACAGACAAGAATCTGTCCTAGTCAAAAGAATGATGTTACCTACATATAACCATACCACCTATCAATAGTTAAACAATCCCAGCAATCTTTCTTTTCATAATTATTAACCAGCGGTTGCCAGGCAAGATATGCCCACATTTTGCAAGAGATGGATAGAGAACAAGCTAAAAATGCGATTTTTCGTACAATCATGGGCCATAATTCAGGAAGTTACGATCCAATATGCACAAATATCGAAAGAAACCAAGATCTTTGGGTTATAAACATGCATATCAAGTTTCATCAAAATCAGATGACAATTGTCCACAAGCTAAAAACGTACAATCAGGGGCCATAATCCATGAAGTTATGGTCCGATACATGCCAATAATGAAAGGAATCAAGATCGTTTGGAGATAGAACTATATATCAAGTTTCGTTGTGACTTATAGAGTGTCCACAAACAAATTTTGGACGGACGGACAGGGGCGACGGCATAATGAAAATGTGCGCGTATAAAAATCTCTGAAGAGTGTGACCAGCAACAGAGAATTACATTCTGGGATCAGCACTTTCACCATGTCAACTAAAATACTTTTTGTAAGATTGATTAATTCCCTTGAGTTGGTTTGTCTGAAGTACATAAAATCAATACTATACGTCTATAAGTATTGCAAGACTTACTATTTCAATATCTGTAATAATTTCATCTGGATCAAATGTTAACTCATCATCTTCAGCTAAAAAGAAAGATTTTATACGGCATTTAGAAGTAAGGAGAGCATCATGTGTATGTATTTATGTTGTTCTACATGTGTGATGGTTTCGTTTATATAATTCCCTTCTCCAAGCCATTTCTAAACGTAGATAGATTTAGGGAGATATAATGATACAAAATAGAGTCTAACTTCCTATCAGTTGATAGCAATCTGATTAAAACACAGATCCTATTTCGTTTCATTTTTTATAGTTCAAAATTTTGTTTTACTTGTCTTCACAGCACCAGTAGAGGCCATCGAAAGAATAAATAGAGGATATTTGTCGTTTTGTCGTGAATAACATATTTTATTTCATCGAGAAGCAAGAAAACTTATATTTTCACGAATGCGTAGCATGAGTGAAAATATAAACGTTTTCTTGCTTAGAGATGAAACAAAATATGTTATTCACGACAAAACGACAAATGTTCTATTTATTTTATGATTTTACAATCATTTTAGGTAAAAACAACTAGCCAGTGGAATAAAACTTTTATTTCACTGATAAAACGCGGTATTCCACTACTGATCATAAAATAAAAAAAAATATAGATCTGTATTTTAATCAGATTGCAGATGATAATCAATTTCAAAACCTTGAAATACCTATGCAATATGCTGTTGATAAAAAGCTTTATGATAATGACAAATGGCTCAATGGAATTTCAAAATATTCTTCTCAACAAGCTTATGTTCATACAAGTCTGCAAGATGTTAAATGTGCTTGTCAGACACACCTACTGTTCAGAAAGACAAAAATATCATCCAAATCATGTTGTTTCTTTATAGGAGATCTAATTACAACCAATCAAGTTTGTCAGAAGTGTTAGGTTACGATAAAACAAATACCCAGATTAATAAAATGAAATGAAATGGATTTTAATGTACTATTGTTCTGCACCGACTGGGCTAATGAAGACAGGTATATGCCATACAGTGTGTTAAAAGGGGAATTTTGCCTGGAAAGCGTCCCGACGGCCTACTCTTATTTCGAATTCCATCTGTCAAAGGTTATTTTAAGTGCACTCGGTTTTTCGTTCCATCCGAACGACTATACATTGTCCCTCAAGAGGCCCACCGTCCTGCACCACTGACAAAGGGGAACCATGCCAGAAAATCCTGATTAACTTTCTTGGCCAACACTTCGATCAAACACAGGACTTCCAAGTTAGCGAGCCAACATCTTAACCACTTGGCCACAGCAGCTCCCAGTTTAATATCATATATTGATAGGTAAGTATCTATACTTACTGGCTTCATAATCATATAAAGCTATAGCTGTTAATGATTTACTGTTTTGATCCTCAGTAGATTCAGCCTCATTATAGACTGATTCTTCGTCAGTAATTGTGTAGTGGTCTTCTGGCTCAAATTCTTTTTGTTTGGTAGGGCTAACAGTCTTTATAGGTGACTGCGGTTCATCTTCTGTCATATTATAATGATCTTCTGGTTCATATTCTTGTTGGACTTCATCTTTAATTTCATATTCAACTCTTTCCTCCTCTTCTTCTTCTTCTTCTTCTTGTTTTTCATTTTCTTCATTCCATCTTTCTTTATTTTGTCTCTCCTGTTCAGATATAAAAAATTTTCGTTTTTTTTTCATGTAATGAGATATATGAAACAGAGTTGCTATTTCATATTTTTATTTTGTCGTACATTTTTACCAAAAATGAAGGGGCATGACTCTTGGCATTATTAAAGCAGGCGGATTCAGACCACAATTTATAATCATGTGTCAACAAAATATTCAAATTCGTGCATAATAAATAGGTGCACCTCATTATTTTTCATATTTAATTCCCGTATGGTATTCAATTTTATGTCAGTAATATTTCTACAAATTATGTGTTTTCGTAATACAATAGAATGAAAGGGTGCCGACTTGAGCAGTAGGCCTACTGTAATTATCAAAATGATACATAATGAAATAGAATACTACATGATTTTAGTGCCATAGGAATACCCTGAAAACTACAATATTGTGAAAGTTGAATCGAATATCAACTGAAAAGTGTTGAATTCCGTTCAGTATTTAAAAATTGAAATTTACACTGATCTATGCTGCTCCCTATGTAACAAGACACCACCATGTTTATTTGCCTGTGAACACAATTGATGGGCCTGTTTTAAATCCTACTGAATCCAAGCCGGGAGATTATCTAGTGTTGGTATTTTGATTTTGTTTTCTTAATTAAAGTAGCTAAATCTCTAACTCAATATCATCCAAAGTCTTCATTTGAAAACACAAATTATTTGTCAATTTAAATCAACATTGATGCTGTGATCTTACCGGAAAAAGATGGGCTTCTGATATCCAATGGTTAATACAAAATAAACATTTTATCATTGGTACACGAATCGTGTACCATAATGTGTTTCAGGCCCATTTTTAACAAGGGACTCGAAGAACGAGGCTAGCCGCTAAACATATTCCACAAGTCATGTCAAACGGTCCGCCATATTCTTATCTGGAGAGCATGTGCAAAAAATACTATGTAGACTGGAATAACCAGATGCTAGAGATTGTCATTCGATTGAGAACTCTTGGCGTATTTCCCCGAACATAACTGATTTGAAATTAGAGTAAAAATGGAAACGATTGAATGTAAATCAGTTTATATAGATTCATATTGAATTGTTATATGCTTTGCAACCAATTTGTGTCAATTTGTAGGTCCCAAATATTAGCAATTTAGCTCCTTTAAATATTAAATAATCAATCTTGAGTACATATTAGCATGGATTAAGCCGTGAGAAATTGATATTTTTTACGAAAAATGCAATTCACACATCGTTACTTTAATGTGTTTGATGCAACCTATTGCCATATGGCATTTAGCAATTGTTAAACATATAATATTAAACATACATTATGCAAGAGCTAAATCTGCCTATTTCAGGTCTTACTTTAGGCCTGAAATGTTATCTAAATTATTAATTAGACATTAATTAACTTATCAAGACCATAATCAACTCTCGATGTCATCGCTAGCCTGCGATATTTACTGGATTAGGATCCGATAAGCTGCTCAACAGTTATTCATGAATTAATCATGAAATGGATAATCGAGACTATGTTTTTTATTGTAACGACTTTAATAATGATGATCGAGACTAGGCCGAAAATTCACTCGCTAAATTCTCTGTTCAGAGTGGATCAATTTGACTGAAATTTTCAGCAAATACCCTTTACATTATCTAGTTTTTAACTATTATAGTGATAACTGCCAGCTCTTTATTTAATCTCCCATAATGTATCTTTAATAAAAGTTGTTGATATTTAGGCCTACCTCTTGTTGTTTCTGTTGAGCAGCTTTCTCCCGTTCTTCTCTAGCTTGTCGTCTGGCTCTTTCTTCTTCTGCCCTTTTTCTGTTCTCGTCTTCAGATGATTTGGCCATGTTTTCAAATCTGGCTTTTAAATTGCTTGCACCTTCCGAACCTGGAAAACATATAACAGTTTGTGAAATCACCGAGATTTTTCAGAGTGACAGTTACTTTAAAGATTTTTCAGAGTGACCGACAATTTAAGAAATCATACAGATTCTACAACATAATTTTAATGATTGATTTTGAATCTTTCATGTTAAATGACAAACAAATATAAACATTTTATAAACAGCAATTATTAATATTTCTTCATTCAAATTATATTTCAATAAACACTCAAATAAAAGATAGGTTGCCAGGCAACAAAACATACGCCCACAGCAGCTAAATCACCTGAGTGGTCGACAAAATTAGAGGGAATTTAATAGACAATTTCAAACAGATGACATTATAATTTTTGTCGTTTGAGGGTCACAAGGTTCTAAAAACTAAAACAAGTTCCGTAACTCTGGAAGTAATCTACAGAAATTGTTGAAATTCGACAGGCTTTTTCGTTTTACTAATTCAAATAATGTATATAAATTTCATACAGGTCGGATGATAACTTTTGTCGTTCGAAGGTTCACAAGGTTCAACAAAGTAAAACAAGGGCCATAACTCTAGAAGTAATTGACGGAAATTGCGGACATTCAATAGACTTCTTTATTTTACTAATTTAAATGATGCATATGAATTTCATACAGATTTGGTGATAACTTTTGTCGTTCAACCGTTCACAAGTTTCAACAAAGTGAAACAAGGGCTATAACTCTAGATGTAATTAACATAAATTTTCTGAAACTCAATAGGCTTGTTCGTTTTACTAATTTAAACGATACATGTAAATTTCATACAGATCAGATAATAACTTTTGTCGTTAGAGAATTCACAACGTACAACAAAGTGAAACAAGGGCCATAACTGTTGATAACTGTTGTCATTAGAGCGTTCACAAGATTTAACAAAGTGAAACAAGGGCCATAACTCTAGATGTAATTAAGGGAAATTGCTGAAATTCCATAGGCTTCTTTGTTTTACTAATTTAAATGATGCCTATAAATTTCATACAGATCGGTTGATAACTTTTGTCGTTAGAGCGTTCACAAGGTGCAACAAAGTGAAACAAGGGGCACAACTCCAGAAGAAATTAACGGAAGTTCTTGAAATTAAATAGGCTTCTTCATCTCACTAATGCAAACAACATATATCAATTTCAAAGAAATTTCATACAGATCGGTTGATAACTTTTGTCGTTAGAGCGTTCACAAGGTGCAACAAAGTGAAACAAGGGCCATAACTCCAGAAGAAATTAACGGAAGTTCTTGAAATTAAATAGGCTTCTTCATCTCACTAATGCAAACAGCATATGGCTAATTCCATGCCAATGTTCCACATTTGAACAAAAATAAAATGATAAGGAGGAAGTTCATTGCATTTTTTTTTCAATATAATTATGTTGAAGTTATTTAAATTGAGTTGATATTTCATCTGTCTTATGTTATCACCAAAATACCAGGCGCCAAAGTTGTTGGTCATTTTTAAAAAATGGTTATAATTTAGCAGCCTGAAAATAAATTGCTGTGTTGTAATAAAATAGGGGTGGAAAATGATGATAGTGGCATATTTGTATCATATAAACTAGTAATAAACTGTGCAGGTTATATAATTTCTTTGAGGGTAAGTTAAGGCATCTTTCAAGCTGAAAATCTTAACTATAACTTATTGTCCCGTCTGTCACAGAATACACTGAAACGTTTCTATATTAACAGAACTAGGTAATATTTAAAAGTTTAACAATAATAGCTATCTTCTCCTTTATATGGCTGATTCAGAACATATAATTAATTAGATCTAACATGAATCAACAAAGTGAAAATTGTATTTGAAATGTGTCCCGTCTGTCACAATTGTCCCGTCTGTCACAAATGTCCCGTCTGTCACAAGAGTTTATAATGCTGCTTTCCTGCTTTAATCTGCTTTTTTTTACCTTCAAATAGTTTTAAAAAGCTTGTAATAACATTGTTGAATTTTGATAGACCATTTGTCATTGATCACTTTTTATTATTTGATAGTTCAGCTGTAGTTATCAACAAACTACAGTAATTCTTCCACAAAAGTTGGCTAACTTGAGGAATTTCTGGGAAACCGCAGTCAAAGTTGCTCCAATTTGAAATTTTTGAATTTTTAAAATGTTGATTTGGGATTGCAGATTAGGTACATGTATTTGAAGCCCCCATATCCAAATATACCAAATTTAAAATATTTATATTCAGAGCATATGACAAATTACTTCAAGATTATCCATCTTTAATTGTTATTATAAATCTATTCTGGGTTTTTTTTTAAAAGTACTAGTACCAGATTTTTTTTTTTAAAACGTGAAATAATTTTTAAACAGCAATCTTTGTTCTATTATGAATTGTCAAATCAGTGTTATATTATATTTGTCATACATGTAGTTTGTTTTAAAAAATAAATGAATTTAAACAAATTCTGAATGATACAAGATGGTTCCAAAACCTGAGCGATAACAGTTAAACCATAGAATCGATTTCAAACATCAGAAGACAAGTTTTCATCGCTCATCATTAACTCCCAATTACTTAATCATTTCAAATAAGTTCTCTTATCCAAATTTATACCATTTGTCACACATAAAAACCCACGACTAAAAGTATATTTTTAATATGCTTAATTTATGGGAAACTTGACTTCATTATAGCAATGTAGTTTAATTTTTATTTGAGAATGAAATTTTTTTGAATAATAATCCTTTGAAAAATGGATGCAAATTAATGTCCCGTCTGTCACAGTCGATGAGACATAACAGTTAAACATCTCAATTAGAAGCATGGAATGGATTTCAAACATCGAAAGACAACTTTTTATCACTCATCATTTACTCCCAATATCTTTATCATTTCAAATAAGTTTGTATTCTCTCTTGTCCAAATTTGTCCCGTCTGTCACAATAGCTTTGTCCCGTCTGTCACACATAAAAACTAACCCCTGAAAGTATATTTTTAACATTTACTCTCATCCTTGCCCAAGATTTGAAGCCTAATGTATGGGAAAATTGACATCATTATAACAATGTAGTTTAATTTTGAATTGAGATAGAATTTTTGTTTTGAATAAATCCTTTGAATAATGGATGCAAATTAATGTCCCGTCTGTCACAGTCATGGTTTAGGTGATGACATCTACAGATTATTTTACTGAGTTAAGTTTCATATTTTATGTGATACTATATGTTCTTTGCTAGGAAATACCATGTTTAAATTCTCTTCTATCCTTAGTATCAGATAGAGAATGGGCTTGACATTTTACTTGGTCACCTTTTCTGTCCCAACTGTCACGCTGGAATTAGCCACATATCAATTTCAAAAAAATTAGATGATAAATGTAGTCTGTAGAGTGTTCACAAGAAATTGTGGACGACGGATGGACGGACGTCCCTACAGACGGATGGGGGGCGACGGCAATATAAAAACGAATTCAGAGTTAGATTTTTCAACCAGAATGTGTGCAAATTTGAGAAATATATGTAAAATGGGGTTTTAGGACTATTCAACATAAGCTAGGTCCTTTTAAGACTAACATATGGCACATCTCTATTTCATTAATTGTTAAGATGACTTGCAGTAAATCTGGGGTCTGTTTCACGAAATTTTAACTAAGATAAAATACAAATTTTAGTAATTTGATTGGATAATATTAGGTTGATTTTAGTGCTTAGCCAATCAAAATTGAAGTATCTACTAAAATTTGGATTTTATCTTTAGTTAAGATTTCAAGAAACAGGGCTCTGGAGTAGTAATAATCAAGGAAATATATGATATGGTCGTGTAGTAAATATTACTATTAGCAGGATAAGGTTTAAATTTAATAGTTTATATATACTTACTGCCACTAGCTCGAACTTTCTGATAACTACTAGAAACTCCTTTATTATCTTCATAACCAACAGCTGACTATAATATATCAACATTTAAATACATTATTATTTCTACCCACATTCACTCTCCTTGATCTTGGGTATACATTATTACATTACATAAATAATATGCGCTTAGATACTGCGATGAACTAATGACCATAAAACTGTTTGTAATGGTACCTTATCCATACTTTCTTTATCCACACCAAACTTTCCACCAAAACCTTTCTTCATATCCGTCTGAGATGGGTGAAGTTCTGTCTTATTAACAGCATCCCAGCCCAGTGCTCCTTTATCCATATGCTCGTCAATGCCATATTTCCCACCAAAACCTTTCTTCATGTCCGTTTGAGATGGATGAAGCTCTGTCTTATTAACACCATCCCAGCCTTGTGCTCCTTTATCCATATGTTCGTCAACGCCATATTTTCCACCAAAACCTTTTTTCATGTCCGTCTGGGATGGGTGAAGTTCCGTCTTATTAACACCTCCACCATAACCTACAGCATTTTTGTCCATATTGTCTTTGTCTACACCGAACTTTCCACCAAAACCTTTTTTCATGTCTTTCTGAGATGGATGTAATTCTGTTTTGTTGACACCTTCCCAACCTTGAGCTGAAGCATCTTGTCTATCTTTCTGGACACCATATTTACCACCAAAACCAACTGAATAATCTTTTAAATAAATTAAAAAAAACAAAACATTATTTGTTAATTTTTTTGGGTTTTTACAAGGTGAGACTAAGACGTGTAGGCAGTCATTACTCCATAATCCTTGCAGTGTTGGGGGTCACGGTGGCTAAGTGGGTAAGATGCTGGCTCGTTAGTTTGGAGGTTGGGTGTTCGATTCCTGCATTGACCAAGAAAGTTCATCTAGATTTTCTGGTGTGGTTCCCGCTTAATATCAGTGATGCAGGACGGAGGGCCTGAAAAGGACAGCTGTCTAGTAGTTCGAATGGAACGAAAAACCAAGGTCCCGTGTACACATTGGCATTCACGTAAAAGATCCCTTGACAGTTGGAATTTGATATAAGAGTAGGCTGTAGTGTCGCTGGCTGAGCAAAATTTAATGTTTGAATTACTGAAAGCTGGCTGACAATGGAACAATTATAAACAATTATAGACTACTTCATTAATTGACAGATTACATTTGATGTTTGAATTATTAAAGGGTGACCGACAATGGATCAATTACAAATAATCTTTAATTAATTTAATTGAATTCAGAAATTAAGTCATCTTTATTTTACTAATGCAACAGAAAAAATAAACTTTCAAATAAAAGTAATTGTATGGTTGAACAGAATCTTCTTTTTAAAGTAACGTTTTCAAAATATTTTCTGTAAATTATGGCTAAATCTTTTTGTTTAGGCCAGCTTAATTTTTGTCAAGGTCGCTGAGACGTAAATAAGGTTAGGGCATGTGATTGTTGGCGAGATTGTAGGTTAGGGTTAGGGTAAGCATTGGGGCTAGGGTTGGGATTAGCGCTAGGCCTGTTTACATCTTGTGACCTATGACGAAAAATGGAGCCGGCCTTATCATTTATCATTAACCGTAAATTACATACCTTTTTGTGAAGCATGTTTTGCTACTTGTTCTTTATGTTCCCAACCTACAGCAGATTTATCCTGTCTATCATTCTGTACACCATATTTTCCACCAAAACCTTGGCTATAATCTGAAAAAGTTACAGTTATTGGTTGAAAAAGTGAACAGCTGATTTGTGAAATAACCCTTCCACATACCTAAATTACCTCCCCTTAGACCACATGTAGATACATTACTACTGACACACCAGCTCTATGTAAAGTTGGTTGCCCTTGTTGAAATCAGAGATCTGACATAAAATTAGAATTTTCAAACAGAGAAAAGTCATCTGTAACTAGTGTTACCACATATTTTCATGACTGGCAAGAAATCCATGTTAATTCTTTTTTTTCATGAATTAACTAGTAAATAACTTCCTGAGAAATATTTTCATATATCTGTAAATTTGACTTCTGGTTGGAGGGTCCTCTCAGAAACAGATTGATGTCAGGTGTAACTTCGTTTTATTATTTGGTATTGAATTTAGATATCAAATTAAAATTGCTTATGGAAAATAATAAAAATGGTATTTTACCTTTTTGAGATGCATGCTTCTCGGTTTTCCCTTCATATTTATAATCAACGGCAGACTTAAAAATAAAATAACAGTAAAATATGAATAAAATATGTAGGGCTGGATGATATTACAAAAAATCATTACCACGCTATATTCACAAATAAAATCACATTATATTGTGAATATAACTATTATGGATAAAATGCTGTGAAATCTACAGATAAATTCATTCTGATTCACATCGACTTCATCATAACCAAAATATAACATACGCTACTAGTACAGTTACGTTTTTCAGAAAATTTTGGACGATTCCGTGACTTCAGTGTCATCTGTATGATCTGCCATAAAGTTAGGTTGTTAAAGGTTAGACTGTTATATCCAGCTAATCATCAATTATATGAGACTGACATTGTGATAATTGAGTGAATATCCAACTAGACAGTTTTTACTGTAATTTACAAGAAATAAAAAAAAACCTTATGAAATTAATGAATTAGATCTAAAGATGCATTATGTAAGAGATAAATCTTCCTATTGCAGGTCTTTCTCTTGGCCTCAAGTCTTATATAAATTATTAACTAGAATTTATCCATATGACAAGCCCATAATCAACTCTCTAGATCATCGGATGGTTGTGATTTTGAACGGATTGAAGTATGATCGCCATTTTATAATTTAATTTAGAAATGGATAATCAAGTACTTTGTTTATTATTGTAATAACGGTAGCAATCAAATCAAGACTATGTTATTCTTCAGTCATAACTTCCCTCAGAATGAAGTAATTTGACTAAAATGTTCAATACATGTATATTCCTTTTTCATTATCTATTTTTAAACTATTATATTATATAGAAAACTATCATCAGCTCTTTATCTAAATCTCACATAATGCATCTTTAATGAAGCTTGATAGATAAAATTTGAATTTGTGGACAAACTATTACGGAAATATCAGTTTTTTTAAATCTGTGCAGATGTCCTCAAGAAAAAACACCCCACCAGGTTGGACAGCTGACGCTACGTCTTGTAACCTGGAAACCAAACCACTTGACCCAATGATGACAAACCGTATGAACATAAAGCATTAGAACACTAGATCACTCAAACCCTACCGCCCCACCCCTCCAGTAATCATATATACCGTTAATATATAATTCTACCTTATCAATGACGACAGACCGTATAACACTAGATCACTTCTCCCCCCCCCCTCCTAAACACCTTCAGTAATAATATATAATATATAATTCTACCTTATCAATTCTGTCTGTCTGTACACCGTATTTTCCTCCAAAGCCTTTAGCAGCATCTGTTTGACTTGCATGTTTATTTAGCTTCTCCAAGTGGTCATGTCCTACAGCAGACTATTGGAAGAAACAAACAAATAATTAGTTAAATGCAGACACTGTTGTCCTGCAGTAAACATTTAAAGGAGCTAAATCGCTAATATTTGGGACACAGAAATGGACAAAAATGGGTCGCAATGCATATAACAATGTAATATGAATGTATATAAACTGATTTACATTCAACTGTTTCAGTTTTTACTGTAATTTTAAATCAGTTATGTTCGGCGAAATAGACCAGAAGTCTCAATCGAATGGCAATCTCTAGCGTCTGGTTATTCCAGTCTATTGCGCATGCTCTCCAGATAAGAATATGGTTTCAACGTTGTGGAATATGTAAGATCAATGTTGATTTAAATTGACAAATAACTTGTCTTTCCAATGCTGAAGACTTTGGATGATATTGAGTTAGAGACTTAGCCAATTTAAAAAAAACCCTCTTTGATTTAGATCAAAATAAAGTATTGAATTGGGTTTATTTTGATCAGTAATGGGGCAAGCTCTATGCGGCATCGAGTTGTTTATAAATTTGAGAGAACATTTTATCCACAGGAATATTCAATTGTTCATATTGACCAGTAACTCTTAATTTTTTAGCATGGCTCAAGACAGTAAATTTTGTCTTACTGTGTCAAGAAAGAAATATAAAATTAAATATAAAGATATTAAATTTTCAATGAAAACAGATTGTTGTTCCCACAAAACAGATTAACATAAAAAATCCAAAGAAATGGTTAAAAAATACTTGGGCTTAAATCAATGAGGTTGTGTCATTTTTAGCTGGTAACTATCAAAATTTGTTTCATTGATTAATAAATTTCAATAATAATGGCAAATTTTAAGAAGAATGTGGTGTGAAAATAAAAATGTTGATTTGTTTTGCTACGCCCAAAACTCTCTAGTTTACTTACTTTGTCCATTCTATCTTTTTCTACACCAAACTGTCCACCATAACCATGGGATGCTTTTGGACCAGCTTCATACTGAGCTTTCTTCACCTTTTCATCATTTTTTGTTACATCTTTTCTCAGCTCTTTTAAACTATTCATAATAAATTAATCACAAAATAGATAACACATACTAATTACTTTCAGGATTAATCTTTTCATAAAGCATCAAGCAAATAAAGAGTTTATCACCGTGTTTAACCTAAGGAAAAAATGCTCATTATCAAGCATAGTCAAAGGTACTGATGATATGGAACTTTGTACAAAATTTCATCACTCCACCTCAAACAGAAGTAGAGTTATTGTTTTCTAAAGTTTCAGCCAATCAAATTGCTTATCTCTGTTTAGCCTAGCTGAAAATGTTCCATCATCAAACTCAGTCAAGTGATTTAGCTAATCAAAACAAGAACAAGTTTGAATATTCTAGCTTAAAGCTGCATTATGGAAGATTAGATAAAGAGCTGAAAGTTTTTCACTATAAGAGTTAAAAAATAGATAATGTTAAGAGGATATGCTGAAAATGAAACGCAGATCAGATTCAAATCTGTTTAAAATCGGACCCGTCATAAGGCATCAAGAATTGATTAAGGTCTTGTAATGTTAATTAATGTCTAATTAATAATTTATATAATATTTCAGTCCTAAAGAAAGACCTGCAATAGTCAGATTTAGTTCTTGCATAATCCCTGTTTATTTAGTAGCAGAGTTATTGTGTTCCAAAACGAAAATGGGATTTTTGATCTGCTCTGGGATACAAATTATAAAGTTCTTCTCAATGTGCCATTGCATCAATCTATAATAAAAATACACCTTTATTGCTTACCTAAGAGAAGCCTGATGACCAGAACCTTCAACTGTCTTAGCTCCCCATCTCTGTTCTTCTTCAGTTACATCATTCTTAAAAAATATAAACATAACATATTATAATGCAAATTTAAATAACTCTTCAAATATATGCATTAATTAATTATAAATCTCTAATTTAAGTAAATAATCAAGTTATTCTAAAGAATTGTAAAACTGTTGTTTAACCAGCATCGTGTAGGTGTAACTTACGAAAGTGAATAACGGTAATATTAATCTGTCTTACTTACAACAAATTAGTAAACTTTCCAAAATTTTGCATACAAATTTAAACCGTATCAAAATGTTGCAGTCATACTGACATTTTACAATAAGCTTGTTCTAAACATCTGGCAAACTGGAGTGACAATCTCAAAACTGATTGGTCAGACACACAGCATTGAATGATGACCTGTCTTAGTTAGCAACTGCAAATACTTTGTCTATAATTTAGGGGGGGTTGGGTGGCAGAATGGTTAATGCTTTGGATCAGAAGGTCTGTCATTGAGTCAACTGCCATGGTTTCCATTCCCCGCTTGTATGTGACAAGGAGTAGGGTAGCCTGCTTAACATCATGGGTTTTCCTGGGTCCTTTACTTTCATACCACTTCTAAAGACCGTTACGGGACGACCTGCCTTAGTTAGCAACTGCAAATACTTTGCCTATAATTTAGTGGGCTCGGGTGGCCGAATGGCTAATGCGTATGCGATGGATCAGAAGGTCTGTAATTGAGTCAAGTGGCACGGTTTTGATTCCCCGGTGTATGTGACAAAGAGAAGGGTCACCTGCTCCACATTGTGGGTTTTCCACGGGTCCTCCGCTTTCCGACACGCAAGCGACTTATTGAAATAAAATTGAACCATATGTTTGCCCCAAAATGACCTAGTTTGTGTCCAGTGGACAGTAAACCCCATTTCTCTCTCTCTTTCTGTCTATAATTCCTTATGTTTTAATAACTCACAACAAAATCTGGGTCAGTTTCCCAATCATCATCATCCTGAATTATATTTTTGGCATTAACGTTGACACCAGCTGATGCTTTCCACATTTTTACAAATTAAGATATATTTACAACTGATCAATCTGAAAATAATAACATACATACAATGAAGACAGAAGTACTCTTAATGAATTAGCAGCCCCAGATTTCACAGGGCATCTATTGTAAAGGGTGGATTTCGACTTGTGTATGGAAAAGTTGCCACATGTAGGTATGGCACTAAGATAAATGTTTCTTCGAGTCTGTCACACAGAATTATTTACTAAAATATAAATGAGACAGCTCTTTTAATAACTCAAAGTGAAAATCTTCAATTTTTTTACAACAGTAACTAGTTTGAATGATTCAATAATGCATATAATGAACGCTGATAAATGTATACAAGATTGTTGCAACGTTTAAAAATAGACATTAAATACCATTTGCTATATGTAAGGCCTAATATATACATTACAAACATTATTAATATAATTTAATATACTTTTAGAAACCTCTGTAAACCTTATTCTATGTTCTTGTTGTTTATTATTGTATTGTACTTTGTATAGTATGCTTTATCATACTCGTGTATATGCCATGCAGTTGTATAATAAAGCATTATTATTATTATTATTATTATATTCTTAATCATTTGCGAAAGTCCAACACGAGTACAAGTGAGTGATTACTCTTTGATATTCAAACATATTGATATATCGTATCCAAGAATGTTTGTTATCACAGATTATATTGATAATGATTCTTCAGGGATAACAAAATAATATCACTCAGAATTGAAAAATGCACAAAAAATCCATTTGGATCATACTAGATTCTGAGTAATAATAATACAGTCTGGACTTTTTTTGATTCACCTCTAAGCAAGTCCATCTGAATTAGTGACTTTCACTTAGTGTGTAGGGCCTTTGTATAAGGTATCCACACCTTTAATTTGTGTGTGGCACTCCTTTGGCTTTTGACTAAGATGGAAATGGCTATGTTATATTTCTCTGCTTTTATTATATGAGATAATTTCCACTGCTGTTAGGTTGAATTATATAGGCTTCTTAAGTATGTCTAATATAACTAAATGGTAAGTGTTACTTTTAGGAAATTGAATAGACAATAGTTTAAACAATCACTCAATCTTATTTTAAAGCCCATGATGGGTATGCTTGACCCAATGAAGGTAGGCCTACAACAATTAAATGTGGCATGACCATGTAGATTAGCTATAATCAGATCAGATTATGGATCTACCAAGCACCAATAATTGTAGCCTTTTTACTTTACGAAAATATATGTACGGTACTGTCATAAGCTGCAAGCATGAGTCATATTTTTTGAGGCTGTTGACAAAATGCTTGTTTTTTGTTACTTTGTGAAAACATTTGTGCGATGTGTTTTCAAGACTAAATTAGCCTTTGGATCAGCTTAGTTAGATTTGATGTATATGAACACATTAGACTTTTCTTACCACAATATTTCCGAAATTCAAAGTGACAACATTCTAACACTTCCTTCTACAACACTATAGCCCTCCCCTTTGAAACTTCCGTCTTTATGCCATGCGGGTCACGGGTTCAAGGCCACATTGACGTTGACTCAATCTATAAAAACCGCTCTGACTCGATGATTTGACATTTTTGGTTGAATGTACCGAGAAGAGAAATGAAATGAAATGAAATGATTTAAGTTGGGTTTTACGTCCTAGTGAGATGGAAATATGTACGTTGGTCATTCCATATCAACTGGACTAATGGTGGGAACATGACCCCCTCCAAAATATTATAAAAAAAATTATGTTATAGTATTAGCCTTACTTAAACTAAAAAATCGGAAATTTTACCCCTCAGCTAGGCCAAAAACTCGCTGAGATAGGCCATTTGAAATTAGAGTGTTGAAACGGATCATAAATTATTCAGTAATTTTTTTCAAGTTTTCATGCGCTATAAAAACTCACATTTCTTATAGGAGTATAACTCTCTAAGTCAACTTTTGGTGTACATGTAGGCCCCTATATATACCGAATTTAGCATCACACGCAATGTCCAATGCATTCTTTTCGCGCCAAAATGTGGAAAAAATGAAATATTCACTTTTATTTTCGTGATTTCCACAGCCTCTGGCAAAGTCATTATTGTATACATAAACTCCAAAATTGGCATAGTTAATGCCAGTTTAAACTTTATCAATTTACAAAAGATTCTCAGTCGATGCGATATACACTTTTTCAAATATTCAGTCTCGAAATTCAATGCACACTGAAAACGTACAAAATATACCCATTTTCACTTTCAATTTTAGCCGTGTGGGACAGAGGTTAAAATTCTGAAAAGGGTTGATAATGAAACTTCATTTACCCTACGATAACATACATTAAAGTCCGTCTTGTGTATCCGATGGCTTATATTTATAAATCGCACTTGAAATCTGTGCGGTGATGAAGTTTTATATCATTTTGGATATTATAGTTTTATAAGATACCCGGCCATGAAAGTATATAAATTAAAGCCTGAACAGATATTACGCAAAGCTGGAAATACGCCAACACAAAATGTTTGGAAATAATGATCGCCAAAGACAACAATTTATCGGAAAGGAAAACTTGGATGTTGACCAAATCAAAAACTCATAGAATGCTTTTTATATCTAATCTGGAGATTACAAAAAGGCCTGTGTATATTGCGTTCTTGTAACATTCAAGATACGAGTTATGTTTATCTCAGATGATACCCCGATATTATTCATGATCATGTTATTGCAGTAGTGTAACGTGGGATGATGAAATGAAATGGGGTTTAACTTTTCTACCAAATCCGGATTAATGTGGCATCATAGAACTGTACTAGATGGTGCCATGTAGCCTAGTAGGCGCTACGGCCTACTCTTATTTCAAATTCAAAGTGCCAAAGATTATTCTATGCACCTTAAGGTATTTGCAGTGCGGGACCTCGATTTTTCGTCTCACCCTGCCTTAACCCGTGGACTGCTATCACAGCAACAACGTGGGTATAATGCACGATTCCAGCAAACGTGTGAAAGCGTGAGAAAAAATAATATTTGAAAGATGAACCGGTATATGTCCGTCCTTTCCTGCCTCTGTAATAATATTGCTGGTAAACGATTTTAGAGTTCCCTGCACCTTTATATCACCTTTTGGTAAAAAAAATAGACCGTGAATGTGTTTTCTACTGCTAGTAATCTTCATGTTGTACACAAAGATTCTAGATCTACAACAGGGTCTAGTCATTCGGATCGAACTAAAAACTGAGGTCATGCACATCGACAGAGGAAATTCATACTGAGAGTAGGCCGTGGCGCCGATGTCCTGTCAAAATGTCCCTCATAGCACACGACATGGCTTAAAATTATGCCCTGTCGGTGCAGAAAAGTAGGCCATTAAATCCCATTTCATTTCACTCTACTAAATCCAGTTTATGGACTAAGACTAGTAATTATTTCCCCCTATTTTATAGGGCGAGTTATAAATAGACAATTTTTCCCTTAATTTTTTTCTCCCCTTTTCCTGCATTTTTGGGTTGACTTTTTGGTCTAAAATTGGAGAAAAAGGATTAAATTGTGTAAAGTGTCTTTCTGCAGAGCAATCATTGCGTCGGAAGTGAGATTTTCACCCCAGTCAACTTCAAATCCCCGTAGCAAAAAATCTAAATGGTCAACCCTCTACAAAATTATGATGAGGAGATTGCCAAATGTGGTCCCCATTGTGCCTATAAAGATTGGAACCAACGGAATGTTGATCAAAAAGCTACAGCCTGTGATGTTATACAGCCATTTAACATTGAAGTCAATGGGCAAATAATTGCTAGTCTGATTCCTTATTTTCTGTAACTCAGTTATCTCCCTTGGATGGTTACTTGCTACTCAACCTTGTGCCAAAATGTTTCTGGAAGCTAGTAACTTTAGGCTGACCTGGTCTGCTATATATTTAGCCTCTAAGACTTAATCAACACGAAGACAATTTTTGTTCACTCTAATGACCAGGTTAGTCTTTATTTAAGTTTAAAACTTTCATAAGATGGAAACTTGGACTGGCATTTTTTCTTGAACAATCTTTTGCATGACCAAGATGTTTTGTGGGTTTTTTTTTTAAAGATTATAAGAGGTGTGATGCCAATTTGTTGATGAGGCTTGGCTATGACTATTAATACTTCATTCCATTTTGTCTTATAGTTCTCAATTGATCATACCATTGAAAGGACTGTACATTTTGGTGGGTTTTAACGTCCAGAGATCATGACTTAATTTTGCTGAATTTGGTTGATTATTACTGAGGGAAGGCTAGCATCCCTTGCTCTGTCTATGGGTCCATAGCCCTAATAGGATGGTTTGACGCCAACCCATTTAAAGGTGTTCCACCACAAAATCAAAGACAATTGGAACAAGCCAACAGTGAGGTTGATGTCCCCGCCGAAATTGCAAAATAAATAGATGACACATATTAATTAATCGCACATTTATTTTTTTCACTAAGTTTCATCACTCTCTATCAGATAGAATCAAGATTATCTTGTCCCAAACCATCGACAAATGAAATCGATTAGCTCTGCTTAGCTTCAGCTCGAAATGTTAATTATTGAACTCAGTCAAGACATTCACCTAATGAACATCTACATATACATCAAGTTTAAACATTCACCTAATAGACACCTATGCCAAGTTTGAACATTCTACCTCAATTAGAAGGAGAGTTATTGTGTTCCAAAGTTTCTACCAATCAAATTGCTTATCACTCTGCTTACCCTCAGCAAAAAATGTTCATTATCGAACTTAGTTAAGGTATTCAATGCTCATCTTCGAACTCCATCAAGGCATTGACCTAATCAACACATACACCAAGTTTGAACATTCTAGCTCAATTAGGAAGAGAGTTATCGTGCCCCAAAAAGTGTGACGGACAGACAGACAGACGGACAGACAGACGGACAGACAGACAGACAGACAGACGAACCCATTTTAATAGTCCCCTGCTTTCTTCGAAAGGCGGGGGACAATTACATTTTCTGGGCGTTGCATTGGCTCTAATCTGCAGTCATTTACGGGCAAATTTCACGAAGATTTGATGTCTGCTCTCTCTGTTCTTTATTCTAGGATGGAAAACCGAGGTCCCGTGTACACATTGGCGTGCACGTAAAAGATCCCGCTGTCTGGGCAAAAATTTCCTTCATGGCACACTGTATGGCGTACACCCATCCTAACTACCTGCTAGTATATCTATAAACTAACATAGGGCATTTAATTTTGTATAGTTATTAGTTACATGTGTAAATATACTGAGCGCCATTGAAAATGCATCACTTAGTTTTTCATATAACAAAATGATCCTGTAAACATATCTTATTTATTTTGCTTCTTATTGAGAACAATATTCAAATGGGAACACATCAATAACAACACATTTGTACACTTCTGGATGTTTAATCTGTAATCAAGGGTACAAAGTCAGAGGGGTCAAAACCAAAAGTACGACAAAGATGTCAGTAGCACGTGTGTCCTCCACGGTAGGCTTCAGCATTAACGCGACCCCTGCAAATGTGTAGGGCGGTGCCGTGATGAAATGTGAAGCCTCCCCACACCATTACACTTCCCCCACCCCATCGATCCGTTTCGAAGACGCAGCAGTCTGCAAGACGTTCCCCAAGACGTCTCCACACACGTTGATGGCCATCAGCTTGATAAAGATGAAAGCGACTCTCATCACTGAAGAGCACACTTTGCCAGTCTACTCTTCTCCATGTCTGGTGTCCTTGAGCCCATATCAAACGCCGCTGACGGTGATGATCCCTGAGGATAGCTCCAACATAAGGTCGTCGTGCACTGAGTCCTACTTCTCTTAGACGACGTCTTACGGTGTTGGCACTTACTGGTCCTTGTCTTCCGACGACTGCTGCACCTGTTCGAGTTGCTGGGCGGAATCTGTCACACAGATGAGTGACCCGGATGTAGCGGTCTTGAGCCTGGGTTGTAATGCGTTGTGGACCAGGACGTTGACGGTCACGTGTTGATCCAGTAACTCAAACATGTTCCACCAACCTTACAATAGTGGACTGATGACAATTGAAGTGTCTGGCAATAGCACGTGTAGACATGCCAGCCCTGGACATTCCCATGGCTTCATTCCGTTGATTTTCAGTAAGTCTCGGCATCTCTAGCTCGATTCCTTCACATGTCCAACAACAAATTACGACAGATTGACGTTTCACAGTTGATGTACTGCACATTAAGTTGAAAACATGCTTTTAAAGGGCTCACACACAATGCTGCACGTGAATATTGGGTTTTTCATGTGCATCTTGTGCAATTTTTTTTTTTTTGCACACGGCCCGATATTTTTTGTGTGAAACAATAGTTCATAGTATTGCATAATATTATACATACAAAACCACCTAGTAATAAAATATTTGGGAAAAAAAAGTGATGCGTTTTCTATGGGGCTCAGTATATGAGAAGTTATATCTCCACCTAATCCAGCTACAAATGATCTCATAAGTAGGGCCTATATGCTACCAAATGTTACATCCTGGGATTCAGTTTTCTTTTCTCCAGAAATAAGACTGGGCAAATATTCCTTGTTATTCTGTAGAAACCTGGCTTCATTCTAGTTTTGAGCTACCATGACCCATGACCCCACCCTCCCATAATCATGGAGATTCCTGCTCTTACTGAGAGAGAGAGAGAGAGAGAGAGAGAGAGTTTAACCTCCACTCACACAAACTAGGTCATTTTGGGACTAACACATGGTTCAATTTTATTTCAACAATTCCATTGGCGTATGGCGTAGGGGTCTTTAGCAGTGGGGGGAAACACAAGTGAAAGAAATGAAATGGGGTTTATTGTCCTACTGTTCTGCTCTGACTGCACTAATGAAGGCGGGCATACACCAACTGTGTGCAATGAGGGAAATTTTGCCTAGGCAACGGCACCATGGCCTAGTCTTATATCAAATTCCAACTGCCAAGGGATCTTTTACGTGCACACCAATGTATACACAGGGGCCTCGGGTTTTTTGTCCCATCCAACCGACAATACTGACAAGTGACAATGTACATAATACAAAAAGTCATTTAGTGGAGGGTAATTTATATTCTCTGAACAATGACATTTACATAATAATAAATATAGATTGCTGTAGAAGCACTTCATTGGTTTTTATTAATAGCTAAGTAGAAATGTAAAAGATTACAATAATATTTTGTTTCACATAGCTTACAATGTATCTATTGACCGGGTGAGATGGGGAAGTGACAAAATGGATTGGTCAAATCTGTGTTAGCCCATCCTCACCTTGTACACTTTTATTATTACAAATAAACAAAATAATTACAAGACACATGCTTGCTGGGATATATGGCTTTCTTCCTTACACTCTCTTCGTGTGTATCATAGCTCTAGATGCATATCTCTGCTCACTTGGCAAACCTCAGCAGATACCAGTACCCTACATCTAGCCTCGACTGTATGACAAAGTCCCCCATTGGAATTACTTTCCAGTTCCCGGATTACCAACACGGCAACAGCGTTGCCCATGACAACGCCTTTGAAGAAAGTTTTATCATACAAATATTTCAAAGTCTGAAGCTGTCTTTCTTTCAAGTTTATCCGATTTTCTTCAAACAAGGACAACTTTGCACTGAAAATTCTAAACACGCTTCGAACGATGCACTTTTGATAACTTCTTTTTAAAAGCCGCAAGTTTTCCTAATAAGTAAACCGGTGCCGCATCGCAATTGTATCGGCATAGGTATATATCACCTACCGTCATACAGTCGAGGCTAGATGTAGAGTAACGGAATCTGCCGAGGTTTGCAGAGTGATCTCTGCTAAGAAGATCATCTTCATGCATATTCATACTTTCTCATGCGCTTATGCACATGTGGGTTATTAAAGAAATTACAAATATCAATTAAACCCCAAAAATGACATTATTTAATGCCTTGTTTGACTGTTATCGCTTTTCAGATCACTATTCTGATTCTTTCATCCAATCAAATGCTAAAATATTTATTATTAGTGTTTATAATCACAGGTTTATGATGGCCCAGGGCTTTTTACAGACACAAATTATAGACCGCCTAAAAGTCTTGCCCTGTTCAATATGTTAAAATTTAAAAACAATAAAAGATAAATAAAAAAGCATTCACGACTGTTCATAATATTAAAAGTTTTGTTTTAAATATATTAACATTTTATGCTTATATCTATATTGAATTATACAATATGAAGCTTTGATATTAAGAGGTTTTTGTTTGAAATATACGGTCCACATGTAACTGTGTGTATACAAAAACCTTGTAAATATTCATTAATTTTATATATTATCTATACATATTTCATTCATTTTTTTTTTTTTTTTTTAGCAGAATGAACATCTTTCTTTCAACTAGATATATATGTAGCCCGTCTGCTTTACAAGTCCATTTCAAAATATTTCACTACAGGATTATCTCCCCTTTCTAGTCGAATCTTTCACAATAGCTAACACAATCTAACTAAAATAAGTACACATTTCATACATAAATTAAAGCTACATTATACATAAGTACATTTAACTGCGACCACACTCAGGACAGAGGATAGATTCTCCGTTCATCAAAAATCCACGGCCGACCATTGATCCGCTACATTTAGCGCAGTTGAAACACTCACTATGCCAGTGACGTTCTTCAAACGAAATGAATTTAGTACCACCAATACCTGTAAAGAGAGATATTATAAATAAATTTAAAATGCAGATATTATGTCATCCTTTGATCTTGGCGTACTATTATTTCAAATAATGGCACAGGCTACGTGCCAAATGTACATTATTTATACGAGTTGAAATATTGGACCCGCGTGACATATTTCATTGAAATGCACGTGCTGGATAGTGTCTGTATTTCAAGTTGTTTAATGGTCTCGTGCAAGACCATGTGTAATGTATAGATATAGCACTCATGCAATATCAATATATTACTTAATGTCTCGCCCTCGACCATTAAACTACACTTTTAAATGATGATCAGTTCGAACATAAATTGTTGTAGATCTACACATGAGCTAGGGTGAAAGATACAGCTGTTTCTCTTTGCTCTATATCGGGTGTGAGTCAAGAGTCAAGTGAGTACTTCCGTGTTAACCAAGTCAAGTAGACAAGAGGAACTTCATATCAACATTTTTGTGTCTGTCTGACAACTTTGTTTATGATCCTTATTGTGTTAGATAGAATAACAATAAGTCTCATTATATGAGGAATATCCAGATTCAGGTCTAAGTATTAAGCCCACCTGCAGATTTCATCAAGACCGTGAGATGTGAATAGGGTTAGGGCTATTTTAGTGTTAGCATAGCTCTGTTTACATCTCATGACCTTGACGAAATCTGCAGGTGCACTTATTATTTAGGCCTAACCAATATCCAGTCCTAAATCCAAAATTGTTTCCAATCACACTGTAAATTACCAATCTATTTAAAATTGGATTACAATTTTGTTTGCTTAATTTATCAGATTTTTATAACACATGGTAATCTAAACCCACTTTTTATTGATGTTGTGTTCCTCCAGGCAATAACCCATTTTAAAATGCTCATAATTCATGAGTCACAACCATGTATCACAACACAGACAAGTTATCAGTAAATAAGTTCATATGATATGATTGTCTAAGAAAATATGTCACATTTGTGGAATAAAATGTCAATATCGACCAATTTGTCATGGAAGCCAAAAATTACACAATCCATTTCAAAATGACATTTTGAACAAGAATCTTTTTTTTCAATCCTTTCCCATATTTTTTAGCCAAAATTAATAGTTATGTGGCTTGTTGTTTAGTGGACATTTAACTACTCATCCAGAAGCAAGATAATATTTAACAAATTAAGAGTAAACCTACCAGTAATGGGTTTGGTACATTGGCAACATCTTTTAGCAAAGAGTTCACCATAGCAGTCAGCACAATAGGGTTTCTCTTCTTTGGAGGTAAATTTCTCTCCAGACAATAGTTTACTACAGTTAGTGCAAGTAAAACAATCTTTATGAAATGGTGTATTTTTATAAGTTACTCCACCTTTATTAATAACCTGAAAAAAGAAATAAAGAGAAAATGTTGATTGAAGTATTCTGCTCAATTGCCCTGGTGGTCAAGCCATGAATTCCCACCAAGAGCATTGAAAACTGAAGCTTCATTTCTATGGCAGGAACAGCTAATCCCCATGCAAAAGCATCAATTTTTTTTAACTATTGACTGATGCATTCTGCACAATTGCCCTGGTGGTCAAGTCATGAATTCCCACAAAGTGGATGGAAAATTGAAGCTTCATTTCTATGGCAGGTACAGCTAATATATCCCTTTGCAAAAGCATCATTTTTTTCAACTCGCCAAATTTGATCGCCTGAACATTTCATTAAATCAGCATTATGGAAGATTAGATAAAGAGCTGACAGTTCTCACTATAATAGTTAAAAAAATAGATAGTGTAAAGGGAACATGTTGAAAATTTCAGTAAAATTACTTCACTCAGCGATACAATTATAGTACCTTTGTTACGATTAAGTATTTTTATTATCCCTTAATTAAGAAAAAATAGAGTTACATACACTGCTGCATTTAGTACATCTTTGGGCGAAATTTTCTTCATAACAGGGAACACAGATAACCTTTTCATCTCTAGGTATAAAGCTTTTATTACTGATAGCTTGGTTACAAACAGTACAGGTGAAACATTGTTCATGCCATTGTTTACCCTTATATTCAAACTTCTTCATTCCTGTTAAATATACAACAATACTGGTAATACAATTAAAACTTTAATGTAATTCTGTGGTGTGCAATCAAGTAATTCCAAATCATCCATTTCAGGGGTCTACTAATCAGGGAGTAAATTTTTAAAAAAGAATTTGAAATTACTTAAAGAAGCTAAATTGCTACTCTTTGGCACCCAGACGTGGACACAAATGGGTCGCAACGCACATAATAATGTAATATGAATTATATAAACCGATTTACATTCAAATCATCCATTTCAGGGGTCTACTAATCAGGGAGTAAATTTTTAAAAAAGAATTTGAAATTACTTAAAGAAGCTAAATTGCTACTTTTTGGCACCCAGACGTGGACACAAATGGGTCGCAACGCACATAATAATGTAATATGAATTATATAAACCGATTTACATTCAATCATTTTTACCCAATTATGTTTGGCAAAATGGCAGTCTTTGGTGTCTGGTTATTTCAGTCTACACCGGAAATATTCTCCTACATGGGATATGTTTAGCCTCATTCATCGAGTCACTTCATTCAAATGGCGCATGAAAGCATTCTGGCACGTAATTCGTGTGCCAATATTAAAATTTTCATTTTGTCTTAAATGTTGGATATCAGAAGTCGATCTTTTCACGGGATGGACCAATAAGTTGTGTTTGCAATGTCGAGGACTGTGGATGATATTGAGTTAACTACTTGGCTCCTTTATTTTAAATAAAAGTCTTATCTGTTTGTTTTTTTATTTAAATGTCTGCATTACTCATATTACTGAGTACTAGAAACTATACTTGAGTCTATGCAATCAATGTGTTGGCTCTGGGTATGACTAAACATCTGCACACCGTACTGAAGATATATATATATCATCCTTAGACCCCTCCATATACTATTAATGTAGAATCCCAAATCAATTCGCTTGTCAATTCTCTTTCCGGTTTCCCATTTGACTTGCTTATTTCCAGTAGTTTATGTTTGATTGTAACTGGCTTTTTAATATTTATCCATTTGTTTGTTCACATTTTAATTATTGTTAATAATCTAGTCAATTGAAATTAGCATGTCCCAAATCAATTCGCTTGTCAATTCTCTTTATGCTTTCCCTTTTGACTTATTTATTTCGAGTAGTTTATGTTTGAATGTAACTGGCTTTTTAATATTTATCCATTTTCTTGTTCACATTTTAATGATCGTTAATAATCTAGTCAATTGAAAAGTACCTTAATTAGCATGTGCCAAAACACATTTCATTCACTTGTTTAAACCGTGAAGAGAAATAAATTGCTTTATTTATTTTCTTGCTATAAGTCTATGATATGGAAATTCTAGTTTCTCCACAAAGGCTATTCAAGACTGACTTTTAGTATTAGAGCAAAGCATCAAAGTTATACCTCCTCTGAATGGATCATTACATCCGTCACATCGAGCAGCAAAAATATTGTCATGGCAATCTGAGCAGTAAATTTTCTCATTCTTGGGAGCAAAGGGTTGATCTACCAATGACTTCTGACATTCACTACACTTGAAACAAAATTCATGCCAATGTCTCTCCTTGTAAGATAAATCCTGAAATAACAAAAGAATAATTCCATGGTTTTATTTGTCGGAGAGGTTTCTTGTTATAATTATTCAAGTGAAATCATGATTTGTTTCACATAGGTAGAAATCTGATTATTACACCCCTATGAAGAAAATAATAATGAGGTATTAAACAAAAAATCACACTCATGTTCTTTAACTAGCCTGGGGTCGAAACCCATGACCAGCATAGATAGCAGAACATGTAGAGAGAGAGAGAGAGAGAGAGAGAGAGAGAGGGTTTAACCTCCACTGACATAAACTAGGTCATATGGTTCAATTTTATTTCAATAATTCGCTTGCGCATAGGAGCCAGAGAAAACCCACGAGGTTGGACAGACATACCTACTCCTTGTCATGTACAAGAAGAGAATCAAAACCACGCCATTTGACTCAATGACAGACCTTATGATGCAACACACACACTTAACCAAATGGACATCCCCCTCAGACCATGCAGAAAGTACATTTATATTCTCATCTCAAATTACAATGTAAAATCTCTTTAAAATAATGTGGATCTATAGACAAATATCTCCCCTTATTTCAAGCCTTTAGCATATTGATACAAATATTCCCCTTTATTTCAAGCCTTTAGCATACTGATACCAAATAAGCTTTTTTATATAAAATCCTCTGATTTGTTCACCACTGAGAAAATGAACTGTAACCACAAAGGTATGTGCTGAATTCCAAATCTGCAAGTTTATGTAGCACAAAAACTGCAGAAAAAATTTAATATAAAGTTACATAATGATTTCACAAGAGAGAACATTCTGGTAAAATATCCTTACTTAGTGTGTCAAATCTTGTATATTTTGAAATTAATTCAATGTAAAGTGAGATAATGAGTTTTCACTAAATAATATCCTAAATTATTGAATTCTGTATAAATTGTTGTATATTTTTAAATTAATTTAATGTAAAGTTAGATAATGACTTTTCAAGAAAGAATATCCTAATAATAGAATTCTAGTGAAAAACATCCTTACTTAGTGTATAAATTGTTGTATGTTTTTAAACTAATTTAATGTAAAGTTAGATAATGAGTTTTCAAGAAATAATATCCTAATTTATCGAGTTCTGGTGAAAAATATCCTTACTTAGAGCATAGATTGTTGTATATTTTTTAATTAATTTAAAGTTAGATAATTAGTTTTCAAGAAAGAACATCCTAATTATAGAATTCTGGTGAAAAATATCCTTACTTAGCACATAGATTGTTGCATATTTTTTAAATTAATTAAAATTTCATGAAAATGTCTGTAAAAATATTCTCCATTGGAAATGAAATTTTGTTTAATGGCACATCGGCTCCAACCGGACTATAATGCGCCAAACATAATTCTCCAGTGGAATTACAATACCTCATTTAAAATAATTCACAAAGATACATGAATCTACCTGGGGTGGAATTATCATCATTATCTACATGATGATAAATATTGCATAGCAATGATAGACAGGTGCTTAACCTAATATGGACGTCTGATATGGCCTTGTTAGCCTGTCTGACTAAGAATCTAGTTATTTCCAATGGCTATAGGCTTTCCTTCTACTGTTTCACATGTTTCACGGCGCTATCTACTAGTATAAATTATACTCTAATGAATTATTACCCCGAATTTATCTATACTTAAACTATCCCATAGATAACTTTTCACAAGGTTAATCTGACCCGAGCTCCCGTGTTTTGTGAGTAAAAAGATAATTTAACATTCAAATTATATGTACATATGCGCGATCAGCGGAAAGTAAATACACTGTTGTTACATATAACTGAACTTTGCATCATTTCCACAGTATCCATTTTCTATCTGATTATAATAACCAGTATACCATAACTAATTGATTATTAATAGCCAATATACCATAACTAATTAGTCGTATCTGTTGATGCCAGATACTAAAGTTACATATTTTTATTTTGGTCTTCAATTCACCAGTTTTAAGTTTTTAGTTGCCTTTTATTCTGAAAGTTTACCATATCAAATTTATATGGTGCTTTTTACCATTGGTCATATAAATATAGATCTGGTTTTGCCAGTGTAGAGGAATTATTACATCTTGTTAAATATACTCTAAAAGTTACTAACACCTATGGATATATATATATTCTCTTTACTTTTTAGCTCCCCAGGTAAAATTTCCGCCATAACACACTGTATGGCATATGCCCGTCTTCATTAGCCCAGTCTGAGCAGAACAGTTAAACCCCATTTCATTTTCATTTCCTTACTTTTTACATAATATTGAGGACATTAAGAAAACAAAGGGAAGTTTCACTTTGGCAAAATATTTCCATGACGGAAGTATATATTGTTTAAACGACATTTTAGTAACTGAATGAGAATAACACTTAACATGATTATATGGAACTTAAAAGTTTTATTTCTGGCAAAGTTTTGATGAGGATTCTCTTGTCTTTATCAAGCCATAATAACAATAACAATGCTTTATTATACAACTGCATGGTATATAGACGAGTATGGTAAAGCATACTATGTAGTTGTGTAATAAAGCACCACCATCATTATTTTTTTATTTTTTTTTTATTTTTTTTCCATCCACTTTATAATGTATTTAGCATGCTGACTGTAATGTATATTTTACACGCTGCCCGAAAAGGGTGTTTTATGTAATAAAATCTATCTATCTATCTTATCATTATCATTATTAAGCAATGGATTTTGCATGGTAAAAGTTTTTCCCATTTTTATTGAGTAATCCATTATAGCTATAATATCTGTTTGTTATGAAACATGTCCCCTATCTTCATTAGCCTTGGTACAGAACAACAGGATGACAAACCTCATTTCGGGGGGTTTGATGGCCGAAATGGTTATATCATAACTTCCATCATTGAGGCAACTTTTGTGGTTTCAATTCCCCAGTTGTACGTGACAAGGAGTAGGGTTGCCTTCCAACCTCATAGGTTTTCTCTGAGTCCTTCGGTTTCATCCCACTGCTAAGACCCTTACGTGCAAGCAAATTATTGAAATAAAATTGAAACATATGTTAGTCTTGAAATGACCTAGTTTGTGTTGAGTGGACTTCAACCCCCCCTCTCTCTCTTTCTCTCTCTCTCCCTCTCTCTCTCTCTCTGTCTCTCAACCCAAACAATATTCTAATCACAACCCAAACAATATTCTAATCACAAGAATAGAAAAAACATAATGCTGAGGTGCACTGGTAAATACATTCTCTCAGACTACTTACTTATAAAAATAATATTAAACCTAATTTGCTTCATTTTCTTGTAGATTTTATAACTTTTTTTTTAAAATTCTTATGTCTGGTAAGTTGATTTGTGAAGATTAGATTATAAATTGCTGTATCTTAGCACATGTTTTATGTAATTAACAGTAGGTCTATATATTCTTAGATGTTTTTTTGTTGTAAAGATCTGGATATTTTTGTTGGATTACTCTAGCAGTGCTAAGCCAAGAAGTCAAAGCTGGTTGTAGCCGTCAGCAAGAATATGAACCAAGTAACCCACACCTGCGATATCCCTTGGAGAAAACAAGAGAGGTAATTGTTTATCAATCAGCAAACAGTGTGGGCCAGCATAGGTCAGAAGATCTTTTCAAAGAAAGGTCTAACAATAGCTGAGTATATAGGATAAGATGAGACAAGTTATTTATTGTACCCAACACCCCATTTGGATAGCATACAAAACATTTTCATTACAATATCTCATAGTTATGTAGTCACAATACAATCATAGTATGCTTGAATGACATGACCTCCTTCATGCCTGTCTTTGTGTGGTTCAATAGTCTCAACATGTGCACTTTAGATCATAAGGTCTGTCATTGAGTGGGTAAGACGCTGACTCGCTAGCCTGAAGGTCGGGTGTTCGATCCCTGCATTGGCTGAGAAAGTTCATCCCGATTTTCCGGCGTGGTTTCCCCTTGTCAGTGATGCAGGACGGAGGGCCTGACAAGGACAGCTGTCTAGTCGTTTGGATGGGACGAAAAACCAAGGTCCTGTGTACACATTGGCGTGCACTAAAAGATCCCTTGGCAGTTGGAATTCAATATAAGAGTAGGCCGTAGCGCCGCTGCCCGGGCAAAATTTCCCTCATAGCACACTGTATGGTGTATGCCGTCTTCATTAGCCCAGGTTAGGAGCAGAACAGTAGGACGTTAAACCCCATTTCATTTCATTTCTTTCATTGAGTCGTGGTGTGGATTCGATCTCAAGCTTGTACAATCATAGTATGAGTAACAATATATGTTTGAATGACATGACCTCCTTCATGCCTGTCTGTAAGCTAGGTGGGGTGGTTCAATAGTCTTTACACACGCACTTTAGATCATAAAGTCTGTCATTGAGTCGTGGTGTGGATTCGAACCCAAGCTTGTATGTAACAAAGATTAGGATCAGGATCGTCTGCTGAACCTCATGAGATTTTTCTTTTCCAGTTTCCTCGCTTTGATAAAAGAACTCTACATTGAATTACTGTATTAAAATTGTACCATATCCATCCTGAATTGATCTTGTTTATGTCTGGTGGAGGTTAAACTCTCTCTCTCTCACCTCTCTCTCTCTCTCTCCACCATATATCATGATGAAGATTATAAAAAAACCCTAATAATTCAGTTTTATGTTTTGCAATATATTAACAATAATTATATATTATTATTGTTACAATTACTCCATTCTAAAATTAAGATGGAATTTTACCCAGGCAATTGCATATACTAGCAGATAATATTGTAAAATAAAGCTATTCTGTTAATTATTTTTGTGTGTGCTTAATTCTACCTATCCTGCTAATACATCAGACCATTAAATCAGAATTAATTGGAATTCTCCAAGTGAATTAAGCCAGACCGAAAAAATCTTTAAGTTTTTTATTTCTACATTGCTTCAATTTTGTTTATTATAGCCGAATAATCACCTCCCACCATTTTTAGTTGTATATTTAGTAAATTAGCTTGATGACAAACTGAACTTGGCCTTTAAACAGTATAACATATAGACATGTTATCTATTATATGATCATATATAATTATCTCTTAAACCTATAGCACAACATTATAATAATAAGTACATATATTGTAATAAACAATGTGATAGTAAGTACATATATTGTATAGTAATAAACAATATAAGTACATGTATTATATTATATAGTAAAAAAACAAATAAAATAATAAGTACATATTATATAGTAATAAACAATATAATAATAAGTACATATATCACATCATATCGTAATAAACAAATATAGTAATAAGTACATGTATTATATTATATAGTCAGAGAGAAAGAGAGAGTTTAACTTCCACTCAACACAAACAAGGTCATTTCGGGACTAACACATGGTTCAGTTTTATTTGAATAATTCGCTTGTGTGTAGGGGTCGCTAGCAGTGGGAGGAAACCCCAGGACCTGGAGAAAACCCATGAGGTGGAACAGGCAACACTACTACTTGTCACCTACAACCGGCTCCCCGAAAACAAAGTTTATTTACATCATATCTCACATTTGGTTTAATCTATCATGGGGAATCGTTTGATAATGTAGCAAAAGAGGGTTTGGATGGCCGAATGGTTAGCATATGCACGCTGCATCATAAGTTCTGTCATTGAGTCAGCTGGAGTGGTTTCGATTCCCCGGTTGTACATGGCAAGGAATAGGGTTGCCTGTCCAACTTCATGGGGTTTTTTTTTTGGTCCTCGGGTTTCCTATTACTGCTAAAGACCCCTATGTGCAAGTGAATTATTGAAATAAAATTGGATCATGTTAGTCCCAAAATGACCTAGTTTGTATCGAGTGGATGTTAAACCATCTCTCTCTCTCTCTCGATAGTAAATTACCAGTAATTAGTTAATGTGTTTTAAATATTTTATCAGTTGATATAACCTTGTCAATTACCCATGTAAAACTACTATAAGTGGTGGAGGATGATGATATGGGATGCTGGTTGAATGTTATATTGGCCCTATTACCATGTGTTATTGATTTCTAAATATGTTTTTGATTATTGAGCGGAAATAAAATTTATCTAATTTTTAATACCTTAGACACTACTTTTATATAATTAAGTGGTGTGTGTGCTAATACCAGACTTCCATTCAGACAAGAAAATATCAATTTATGATCTAATAAATGCTGACTGCATATTATTTCAATTGAAGAAACTTTTTACTTAAAGATTTCTAAATCAATTCAATTTCTAAGCATCACTGAAGCATATTGATAAAACAAATTATTATCTCATATTTTGGCTTAAAGATAGATTCCCGGGTACAAACTGGGTGATTTGATGATATATTTGGACTAAAAACATATTCAAACTAATTAATTTTGCTTCAAATCCTTCTCAAAACATTGTAATTGTCAGGGAATACCCTGGCTATAAAAAATCGATCAAAAGAGGTCATGTTTGTGTCACGTGACTTACCTCTGTCGGTACCTAGCAACGGGTGCGAATTTGGAGGAGAATTCATTGACGATGTTGTCTTTAATCGCTGACTATTTATTACAAATATCGAAGCCTAATTAAATTTTCGGATTATCTACAGCCCACGTTTTTTTTATCTCAGAAAGTGTTGTACGTCTAACTCTTCATAAAGTTTATCAATATGTACACCAAGCGCTCAATCTCCGCGTGCAACCTTCCACGTCACACATGCAGACACTCCTAATCGTCAGGCTGCGATTAGGGAAACTCTTACATTTTTGTCCTGTATGCTCTCCATGAGTGTTTTTCAGGGAATCCAGTATTTTTCTAGAAAGATTGGATATCTCTATTTTCCATATATACCAAAATTGCCATACTTTTATTGGAAATAAACACCTGATAAATACTTTTCTGGGAACGTATCCTTAACTGATAAAGGTATGTGAAAACTATGGTTATCTAATAAATGCTGACTGCATATTATTTCAATTGAAGAAACTTTATTTTTAAAGATTTCTAAGCATTGAACTGAAGCATATTGATAAAGCAAATTATTCTCTCATATTTTGGATACATTGGAATGCACGTAAAAGATCCCTTGGCAGTTGGAATTCCATATAAGAGTAGGCCATAGTGCTGCTGCCGGGGCAAAATTTCCCTCATAGCACACTGTATGGCATATGCCCGTCTTCATTAGCCCAGTGTAGGAGCAGAACAGTAGGACGTTAAACCCCATTTCATTTCATTTCTCATATTTTGGCTTAACTGATAAAGATATGTGAAAACTAAGGTTATTGAGCAGTAGTCTGTATTTAAGTGGTGAATTACTTATCTACCCTAATCTATTAGCCACACTTGGAGAGGATAATATTTCACCTTGATTGTATAGCTTCTGAAACAATTCTACAAACTGACACACAGTCTAGGTTCACATCTAGACCGTCTGTTGCCGTTTACTTTTCTCCAAATTTAGATTCTTACTCATCACATGAAACCTATCTCGTAAGCAGACGGTTTTGTTTGGAAATGAGGCATTTAAAATGTTTTAATTGAAAATTCTGCATGATTCACTGTTTGTTACGCTATTACACCTGTGTTTTTATTTTGGTTTTATCGTAATATAATGGGGCTACTGTTTGGGTATGATGTATGAAGTCAACAATGCATCACATTTAATTCCTGGTAGATTTAATGAAATATAACCCCACTAGAGCCCCATGCTCTCTGATCCCTCCTGTAAAAACATATGACTCAATATAACAAAAATTCTTAGCCACTCACAAATAACTAAGAAGTGGCATTTGATGTTCTCAAAATGCTGAGCGTAGGTTGAGTTTAGAATTTTGTTCAGAAATAATGTTGTAGGTGCAAGAGTAAAAGAATGCAAATTTTTCTCTGGGCTGTGGTCTATAATGGTAGCCATGGTGACTCAGTGATAACGACACTGGCTCATTAAACAGAAGGGGGGGGGGGGGGTGGATGGACGAATGGTTAGCATGTGCACGTTGTATCATAGGGTCTGTCATTGAGTCAACAGGCGTGGTTTCGATTCCCCGGTTGTATGTGACAAGGAGTAGGGTCGCCTGTCCAACCTTATGGGTTTTCTCTGGGTCCTCCGGTTTCCTCCCACTGCTAAAGACCCATACGTGCAAGCAAATTATTGAAATAAAATTAAACCATATGTTAGCCCTGAAATTACCTAGTTTGTGTCGAGTGGATGTTAAACCACATCTCTCTCGCTCCCAATTCTAGTGTTGGCCAAGAAAGTTCCTCAGATTTTCCATCAGGGTTTTCCATTATCAGTGCTGCATGACAGAGGGCCTGGCAAGAAACAGTGTCTAGTCGTTCGGATAGAACAAAAAACTGAGAACCCTTGCTAAGGCACTGCTGAACAAAGGAAGCTGTACAGTATTGTAAATGTAATCAATTATGAATGGGTAACCATTGGACGATTCACAATGGAAGATAGCAAAGAAATTGACATGGATGACGTCCAACTCTAAATGGACTACTTCAACTCACCTTAAAATCCGGTCCAATTGGTTTCGTACATTCTTCACAGTTACTAGCAAACAGTTGTTGATAACAGGGTATACAGTGAGGATGGTCATCTTTTAAGATATAACGACAAGCAATCAGTTTCTTTTCACAGTTATGACATGCCAAATGGTCCTTATGGTAGTTTTGATCCATGGCGGTGGTGTACTCACCAGAAAATATCAACTGAAACAGAAACAAAAAACATTTTACTACATTGTTATATCAAATCATCCAAAAATATTAAAGATGCACTATGTAAGATTAGATAAAGGGCTGGCTGTTCTTGCTATAATAGCTCAAAAATAGATAATGTAAAATGAAAATATTGAAAATTTAAATCAAATTACTTTATTCTGAGTGAAGTTATCAGTGTTTGTAGTTTTGACAAGATATAGCGTAGATTCTTCATTATTGTAGCATTGCTACTTCACAATCAAGTCTTGATTATCCATTTTATTGTTAAATTTGTAAATCTCGTGAGTATTCTAATCCATTTGAATGTCGGTCATCTGATGGTCTAGAGAGTTGGTTATAGGCTTGTCATATGAATAAATGTCTAAATAACAGTTTATATAACATTTATATAACAGTCAATAGGCAGATTTAGCTCTTACATAATGCATCTTAAACTGACATTAGAAGACAAATATGGTTTTATAATATTTTCATTATCATAATCTCTATTGTAACATTCTTAAGTGTGAATCTTGCGTTTTGATTGGTCAATTAGACACTGTCAATTGGACAATAACACCCCTCTGTTTTAGTAATTTCTTTTAAAATGCTAAAATAGCTTATTACAATGTCGATAAACACTTCCTGTTTCGTATTTAGAGGGGTGTTATTGTCCAATAGACATGTCCTGAGATTTTACACTAGAACCCGCGACGCTAACGCATCTTGGGTCCTAATGATCTCAGAACATGTCTATTGGACAATAACACCCCTCGAAATGCGAAACCGGAAGTGTTTATCTCCTAAATCATGCCTGGAAAGTACTTTTGCAAATGTCTAACCAAATACAGATCTATATTTCGTTTTGTTTTTTATACTTTTAATGGCCTACACGAAGATCGTTTGTAGCGATAGGTCGCGTCAGAGGTCATACGAGCAGCTTTTGATTAACCAATCAGCATTTATGTTACTAGTGGATTACACACAGTTCCGTGTAAAACACGCCTAAAGCTCGCCGTAACAGACCGTTTCATTGGCTAATCCCTCACACCATTCAGAACACATCAATGATAACAACTCTTCCAGATACTAGTGTAGCAAAGACAAGTAAAACGAAATTTTGAACTATAAAAACGAAACGAAATAAGATCTGTGTTTTAATCAGATTGATCAATAAAATCACAGAAAAGGGACATGTGCCTAAAAAAGTCTGAATTTGTGCCTGATAATGTCTGTGACAGGTGCCTTATCTCCAGGCATGCTTCCAATGTAATAATAACAAATAAACATGTATCAAATGTTCATTTTCATATCATCTTTCAGTAAATTTCAGAAATATAACTATAAAATATAACTATTTCCTAACCTTGAAAGATTCTCATGATAGCAACAGAATAAATGGAATAAGTACGAATTATATGGAATCATTTGTCATGGTTTATCATCAATTTTCTGATGTGATTCTAATAAATCAACATGCATGCATCCATAAAAGTCTTATTTATTACATATACTCATTCTTGATTTCTCTCAATGGGGAAATGGCTGGAGTTTTATTGTATATAGACTTCTAAACTTATTTAAGTATCATCAGACAGACAGTCATAATATTTTATTTGTTTGCCCTGTAGACATGTTTCCGCAAGACCAGTGGTATTTATCAGAATCATTTTCATGCTTAACCAAGCAGTTTCCAATAGAAAGTTTGGAGTTTTACAAATTACATAATTTTGTCTCCAATTCTCATGTTGCAAGATCAATAAAGTTATTTGGTTGTTAATTATAATTTATCATAATTTTTGGCTTTCCAGAATCATAATTGTGCTATAACCATGTTATGCCAACCTATCAACACATCAATTGTTAGCTGAATTATCTTTAACAGGGGGGCTGAAAAAGTAGGTCTAAAATCAAACCATATGTAAGTACCGAAAAGACCTAGTTTGTGTCGAGTGGGCGTTAAACCTCAACCCTCTCTCTCTCTCTCATTATATGATATCTGATATTAGAGTAATCTAATGTAAAATTCTCTGTTTCTTTTCTTTTTATCTTTGTCAAAGGTTTTTCCTAATCATTATAAACAGACTGTTCATCCTTTCTGTCACACAGGGGTTACGGTGGCTAAGTGGGTGAGACGCTGGCTCGCTAGCCTGGAGGTCAGGTGTTCGATCCCTGCATTGGCTGAGAAAGTTCATCCAGATTTTCCGGCGTGGTTCCCCCTGGTCAGTGATGCAGGATGAAGGGCCCGACAAAGACAGCTGTCTAGTCGTTCAGATGGGACAAAAAACCGAGGTCCCGTGTACACATTGGCATGCATGTAAAAGATCCCTTGACAGTTGGAATTCGATATAAGAGAAGGCTGTAGTGCCGCCATCCTGGCAAAATTTCTCCCTCATAGCACACTGTATGGCAGTCTTCATTAGCCCAGTTCGGAGCAGAACAGTAGGACGTTAAATCCCATTTCATTTTCTGTCATAATGATGGTACAATAGAACAGTATGAATATTGTTGCCAATAAGATAGTAATCAGACATAAGTAGGTGTAATATATATGGTAAACAAGCCACTTAATGAGAACAGGTAGAATAGGATCTAATCAAATTATATTCTACAGCCAGATAATACGCCCAAATCTCACTTTAATTGCCGACTTAATGATGGTGTTCACACCATGGTGGTTTGTTTACTTTAAACGTTTTTCTGGTCAGTAAATCCCACATACGCTCTTAATGTACACTTATGTAGATATATCCTTGTGGCTTAATCAAACATCACTCAGACTGACCCGATAAATAAAAATAAGTCCCCTTCAACCTCCCATTTTATACACCTGGATTTGTCAAAGGTGATGTTGATTTTTACCTGTCCTTGTATACCATTTGCTTATATTACATTTCTTCCATCCAACTATCAACTTTTATTGTTAAGGTCAAATAAAGAGATTTTGACCCTCTTAACACTCAAGTGGACATGACCAACATTTGAAATGTCACGAACAATTATCACCAACTTTCCAAACTTTACACAACTTTATCCAATTATACCGAAAAACATATTTTTTCTTATTTGAAGATAAAATGAAAAGAAGGTTGTGAAAGATCATCCTGACACGAGTAAATACAAAGATAGGTTGTCAGGCAATAAAACATACGCCCACAGACCAACAATCTGATTAAAACACAGATCCTATTTCGTTTTGTTTTTTATAGTTCAAAATTTTGTTTTACTCGTCTTTACTACACTAGGATCTGGAAGAGTTCTTATCATTGACGTGTTCTGGATGATGTGAGGGATTAGCCAATGAAACTGTCTGTTACAACGAGCTTTGGGAGTGATGTGCACGGAACTGTGGGTAATCCACAAGAAACATCAATGCTGATTGGTTAACAAATGTCCGACGTAATCGGGTCAAAAGCTGCCCGTTTGAACCCTGACGTAAACCCCCACTATAACTTGTGAGATCTTCATGTAGTGTAGGCCTTCGAATGTATAAAAAAACAAAACGAAATATAGATCTGTTAATCAGATTGACAGACCAATGGGTCTCCTTATACTTTTTTTGAGAAAGAAAAAAAAAAACACTGAAGAGATAATTAACAATCGAAAATAATTTTTGGAAAACACATTAAAAGCCACATTTTCATTATTTGTGTGGCTCAGTGATAAGTGCGTTGGCTCGTCAACCTGGAGGTCCTGTGTTCGATCCCAGCGTTGCCAGAGAAAGTTCATCAGGATTTTCTGGCATGGTTCCTCTTTGTCAGTGGTGCAGAACCTGAGGGCCTGGCATGGGATAACGTACAGTCGTTCGGATCGGACATTTTGAATTTGATATGAGAGTAGGCTATAGCGCCGCTGTCTGGGCAAAATTCCCCTCATAGCACACTGTATGGCATACACCCATCTTCAATAACCCAGTCGGACGTTAAACCCCAATTCTTTTCATTGTTTCAATAATGAATATATACCATGATGAAGAAATAATAATTGGCACCTTTCTCATGGGGAGGGGGCAGGGACGTTGTATCATAAGGTCTGTCATTGAGTCAACTGACATGGTTTTGATTCCCTGGTTGTACATGACAAGGAATGGGGTCACCTGTCCAACCTTATGGGTTTTCTCCCACTGCTAAAGACCCATACACGCAAGCGAATTATTGAAATAAAATTGAACCATACATGTTAGTCCCAAAATGACCTAGTTTGTGTCAAGTGGGTGTTAATCTCTCTCTCTCTCTCTCTCTCTCTCTCTCTCTCTCATGCTTGTACACATACCTATATATCTTCCAAAAACTAAAAAGATGTAAGAATTAAGATGTCAAGGCTTGGTGTATTTAAAAATCAGTAAAATATGGCCTTTAAATTATCTAAATATGAAATAAAACGTAGGTAAAGGTGTGTAATCTATTATGATAAGATGCAATATGTTCTTAGTAGGGGTAGACTATTTTATTAATGTACAATTATTTGACAGACCAATCCTTTACAAACCTATTTATTTCATACAATCCACCAGGAAACGATTTCTAACTAACTTAATTAAATACTTGAAAATATTTCTCAAATAAACAAACATTATTTAATCAGCATTATTCATGTATATTATTATTCCATGTAAAATATATTTTTGTATACATGTATATTGATGTATGTGAATGTTTTGTATACTGTTCTTAATGGACGTAATATGCAAATAAAACGTTGAAGTTGAAGTATTAGATAAATATAATGCAACATTCAAGCCACGTACATGCAATAATTACTTAATCCAATTGTCTAGCAGCTTAAAGATGTATTATGTAAGACTTAGATAAAGAGCTGGCCGTTCCTGCAAAAATAGTTCAAAAATAGATAATGACTATATTGAAAATTTCAGTCAAATTACTTTATTCTGTGGGAGGTTACGACAAAATGTAGCAAGTCTTGATAATCTATTTCATTGTTAAACATTTAAATGGCTTTTACGTTCTAATCTACTTAAAATCAGTCATCCAATGGTCCAGAGAGTTGAT